TTTGTATTTAGCCCAGACAAATACACCTTAATTGGACAGCAGTCCTTACGCTTTTCAACATTACATATCTATAATCTTGACAAAGAAATATTAATATAGACCACATAAACCTTTTTAAACCACAGCCATAATATTAAAATCGAACAGTCGATTTAGCATCATTAACCTAACATGCAGGCTATGCTTGATAAATGATCAGATCAATAACAGATATACCCTATAATGTTATATAGGGTAATCTGTTTTAAAAAAAATTGTTTCTTTGTGCAAACGTGTTGTTGAATTGGGTCAAGATAATACCAGATGACAAGTAAAAGGCGAAACACAATTGGAGTATTTTGCTTGTTTGGAGGTTATGGTGCTTTGGGATAGGCGTGGTCGGGTTGATAAAGTTTATGGTTGCCGAAAAGTCCCGAGTTCAAATCCCCTAGCCAGATGAGATTCGATAGCTGGGGACAGCATCCCGTTTAGGGAAGATAACTCCAAAATAAAACAACTGTTGCCTTGTAGGACAAAAGGCTATGGAAGCAAATTCAGAAAGAAAAGCAGGCTAAAATTTAAGTCAACTGGACATATGGTGCATAAAGTGTTGACACGTAATGCTTAATTTTGCGTTGGAGGGTATCCCGCCAACATTACAATTAAGAACGAAGAAGAAGGTTGTGTTTGTTTCTGATACAGTAGTATGTTGTAGATCCCCAAAGTCGTGATTCCTTTGTGCCGTACTGTACTTTGTTGTTTTATCCACTAGAAAATGACATAGCGTTCTCAGCAACTTTCATAATGAGGGTTGGTGTCATATGTTAGGGCTATAGTTCGACTGCAGATGGGTTATGGATAGAATTACAGATACCAATGCCGGTTTGATATCAATTAAACATCTCTAACCAGGTTTAGATTTTCAATTATTATAATACTGTTAATTAAAATGTGGGTGAGTGGGGTGAGATGGGGGGGGGGGGGGGGGGGTAAAAAAGGAGGATGCACATGCCCCGTTCTAAAAACAATCACCGTCGTAGTTATGAAAACACAGACGACAGCTGGATTTGATCCCCTAATCCACGCTATCTGTTCGGCCCAGAGCGACCCCTGTAACCCCCTCGGGATGTGCGACATGTTTTATGTCACGACCACACACACACACTCCCCCCCCCCCCCCCACCCCGACCCACCCAGCCTCGCGACGAGTATAATTCGAAGTTAATAAAAAACAGCGATACTAACCTGCTACATAAAATAATCAATAGCCTCGCCGTCCTGTCCGCATGTGTAGACTAGATGTACGCATGTGTAAGAGTGTGATAAAAATGGCGGCGTTTTAAAAATACAAATCTGATTTCTCAAGAAACTTTATTGGACCACGTGTTATTATAAAATGTAACATGAGAATGTCAGTTCATCGTCATCACTATAATTCTTCATAATTAAAATAAATAAATAATTAAAACTTAGGAATTTTCAAAAATAAAATATAATGAAAACAGATCTTAGTGCAAAATCGTGGTCGTGTATTCACTGGCTATGTTATTGCGTGTGGTTTTCTTTTCAAAGTGCCTCTTTCTAAAGTGTTTCTAAATCTCAAAATTTTAAATTTTTAAAGTATTTCCAAGTGTCTACATGACAGAAAATAACCTTATTTTAAAAAGGACAAGTCAATATTTAGTTGTAAATCACGTGTATATTTAAAAGTGTTTCCAAGTGTCTATGCTCCATACTGTAAATAGTCTTTACTTTAATATAAACATTTAACATGTTAATGTTTAAATGTATATCAAAGATCTATTTTGAAGATTTTCTAAGTGTCAAACTTTTAAAGAGTTTCCATATGTCTATTGTTTGAATTGTTAAGTTGGACCATCTGAATTACAATTGTTAAATACGTAAATACTACCTTTCTCATGACATTTTTCTTCTCGTAATTAATGCCCCCCCCCCCCCCCATGGAATATTAACCTCACCCCCCCCCCCCCCCGCTTGCCCTTCTCCTGAATTACAACAGTCAAATATTTTAATACCACCTATTGCATGAGTCTCCCTCCCCCACCCATCCTCCACTGACTATTAACCTCACCCTCACCACCCCCTACTTGCCTTACACCTGAATTACAAATGTCAAATATTTTAATACCACCTTTTTTTCATGAAGTTTTCCCCCTCATAACACCCCCCCCCCCCCACACACACACTGACTATTAAACCTCATCCCCTCCCCGCTTGCCTTACTCCTGAATTACAATTGTCAAATATTTTAATACCACCTTTTCGTGATGTCCCCCCCCCCCCCCTCATAATAACGCCACCCCCCACTAACTATTAAACCTCACCCTCCCCTATTTGCCCTACTCCTAACCTTGCGCCCCCACCCTCCTCTAGCTCAACCCCCCCCCCCCCCCCCCTTCCCGTCTCGCGCATAAACCCATTACACTGCTGGGTGTCGAGAAAATGCAGTAAGTGATGAGGTCAAACCGACCTCCATAGATTATTCGTTCCCGTCGCCGGCTCGGCTAAGGCTGCGGACTGTGCATAATTAGCTTAGTAGGTCAGGAAGCCATAGGAAACTAGCGGGGAATTATGGGGCCGATTTACTTCTGCTACCATAGCCTGATTTTCTCTAGGCCTGCAAAATGCATTAGCGATTGTTAGACGCTTGTATGATTTGATTTTAACTCCGTAGTATTTGTAATATTTATTAAATATTATAGTTAAAATATACTTATTCATTTGTAGAGATTTATTGATATTTTTATGCCTAAATGGAATGTCTAGTTGTAGCAGAAGTCATAATGGTGAACGCTTGCAGCGCTAAAAATAAAACTAACAGCCAGATTTTTATGAATTTAGTTTCCGGTTGTATTTTTTTAAATTCTTGAATAATGTTACATACTTGTTGAAGAGAAATATTTTTTCTTTTTTTTTTTTAAAGAGATAACAAGCCTCAGACTTCCTGTGCTAATTCAACGACAGCAATAAAAAAGATTGCTCTTGAATAATATCTTTACAGTTTAATTCACGCTTATCAATGTTTGTAGTTTTATACATACACTGCTGCATATTGGTGGTTATATAAGATATAACATAATATAGGATTGTATAGTTGTATAAAAGGCATGTTGTCTGAATCTTGACTAGCTGTGTTGTATCACGGCTAGACTAGCAAAGTTTAATGACGGCTAGACAGAAACGGAAAGTGGGCCAGACACACACACCATCCATCCACAACACCACCTGCTTCACTTGCCGTATGACGTCATATTTTAGACAAAGCAGTTGTCAGCCAGTGGTTGAATGTGGCCTGTACCAATCAACAAGTGGATGAATGTGGCCTGTACCAGTCAAGTGGTTGAATGTGGCCTGTATCAGTCAACTAGTGGTTGAATGTGGCCTGTATCAATCAAGTGGTTGAATTTTGCCTGTATCAGTCAAGTGGTTGAATGTGGCCTGTACCAGTCAACAAGTGGTTGAATGTGGCCTGTACCAGTCAAGTGGTTGAATGTGGCCTGTACCAGTCAAGTGGTTGAATGTGGCCTGTACCAGTCAAGTGGTTGAATGTGGCCTGTATCAGTCAACAAGTGGTTGAATGTGGCCTGTATCAGTCAACCAGTGGTTGAATGTGGCCTGTACCAGTCAACCAGTGGTTGAATGTGGCCTGTATCAGTCAAGTGGTTGAATGTGGCCTGTATCAGTCAAGTGGTTGAATGTGGCCTGTATCAGTCAACAAGTGGTTGAATGTGGACTGTATCAGTCAACAAGTGGTTGAATGTGGCCTGTATCAGTCAAGTGGTTGAATGTGGCCTGTATCAGTCAATAAGTGGTTGAATGTGGACTGTATCAGTCAATAAGTGGTTGAATGTGGACTGTATCAGTCAAGTGGTTGAATGTGGCCTGTATCAGTCAAGTGGTTGAATGTGGCCTGTATCAGTCAACAAGTGGTTGAATGTGGCATGTACCAGTCAAGTGGTTGAATGTGGCCTGTATCAGTCAACAAGTGGTTGAATGTGGCCTGTACCAGTCAACAAGTGGTTGAATGTGGCCTGTATCAGTCAACAAGTGGATGAATGTGGCCTGTATCAGTCAAGTGGTTGGATGTGGCCTGTATCAGTCAAGTGGTTGAATGTGGCCTGTATCAGTCAACAAGTGGTTGAATGTGGCCTGTACCAGTCAAGTGGTTGGATGTGGCCTGTATCAGTCAACAAGTGGTTGAATGTGGCTTGAACCAGTCAAGTGGTTGAATGTGGCCTGTATCAGTCAACAAGTGGATGAATGTGGCCTGTATCAGTCAAGTGGTTGAATGTGGCCTGTATCAGTCAACAAGTGGTTGAATGTGGCCTGTACCAATCAACAAGTGGTTGAACGTGGCCTGTAATGAGCCCTGTTATATATTCCATTAAACGCCAATAAAATTCTAGCCTTAAAAAAATATTTAAACACTGCACAGAATATCTATTATATAAATCTCTGTAACATAAAGAAATATTGAAGTATATTTTTACTAGATTGTCACTCACTGTTTAAGTGATTTATTGTAAAAGGAAATTCACATTCATGCTGAAACTCTATATGTTTTATCTGGCTATGTGCCCTACTTTCAAGCTGATATTTAAGCCTCTATGGCTGATATTTAATTTCAATTTACTCCATCCTAGTCTGAGTTCTTAAAAATATTTTTTAGGCAAAAATAAGAGTGTATCTTATCTGAAATATTAAAATACTGTACATAAAAATTTGATCCTGGTTTATTACATAAAAACACTTAATATGTATTGGAATTAATTTTGTAACACAATACTTGGTAATAATGCTTGTATGTGATAGACACACACAAAAACACAAATGTATTCTGAGTCAGCTATTCCAAACGTTTTACAAAAATTGCTGCCTCTTTATGAGTATTGAAATTTTTTAAAAGTGTAACCTTTGTAATTTTTATGAAACAACTCAATTTAATTGCATATATCTATTCTGTTAATTAATTAATTAATTATTTTTTTTTTTTTTTGCAGATGAGATGTGAGGAATGATTGGTCATTCTCCAGTGTGTCCATGAAACTAGGTCTGAATGACACCCAGTTTTCTATCCCGTCCCAGAACTATCTGCAGTGTCCAGTTGTAGCACATTGCACAACTAAGAGAATGACTTAACTCATTGATGAACTGACCCATTAGATGTGTGAAGTTAAAACATTTTTTGCTAGAGAGTAGCAAATAAAAGTTACTGGTGAGTTGTTCAAAATCATTCAATTTAAATTATTTCAGATTTTAATTGATGCACTTTAAACTTGAAAATAAATGGGGCTCAGATAAGGATGAACACAACAGCCCAAATAATCCGCTGAGGTTCAGAAAGGGGTGAGTCCAATGAGTCCAAAGGTCCAATAATCAGATGATTAGAAAGAAATCCAAAAAGCCTAATAATCAGCCTTGGGGGGTGGGGAGGTGGTCTGTAAGGGATGAGTATGAGTCCAAAAAATCTTATTAAGTATTAATGGAGGAACCTCTAAATGAGTTACATAGTTACTGGCCCTGATTCTGGACCAGTATTTGTAGAAGGTAATTAAAAATCATGAATACAATAAAAAAAATTAACATATTTTAATTTTGCAGGTACATGAGGTACAAACTAAACAAAACAAGCTAGAACTACACCAAGGTGGGGGATGAGCTCTTGACAGCAAGTGGAATAATATTCACAGCAATTGTCGGATAATTTTTCTCTTTTGGGAGACTGCAAAGTTCTGTGTGAAATTGTAAAAAAAAAAATTTGTGTTGAAATAATTTGAAATATTTTTGGATAATTCACAACTGGAGATTTTTGGTCGTTTTGTTTCTTGGATATAACAAAGCTACATGATTGGTTGTGTGACCACTGAAAATGTGTTCTTGGATTCTGTGAGTTTATGAAATTATTCACAGTGGTGGTTGGAAGTAGGACAGTACTGCTGAAGAGTTAGTTCTTGTGGATGTGTTGTGGAAGTTCCCCTGGGATTTACCGCCGTTTTCCAGTTTTTTCCTGTTTGTGGCCAAATTAGCACAACGGACCTGCACTGGCGCCTTGTGGTTGGGGCGCGGGGGCGTCGCCAAGTCAGTACCCATGAGTCGAGTGACAGAGGATGATCTACACCTCTGCACGGCTACTGGCTACCTCTGCACGGTTCCTTGTCGTCTGCATGTTTCTTGCTTCCACGTCGACCTGTGCGTCCACTCCGTTAACCACACCGCCCACCTTAGACACTGAGACCACCCAGGGAGTACCTGGACGTCCGTCAACTCGTATCAGGACACCTGTGAAAAAAGGTAAGTTAACATGCTTGTTCACTAGGGTTACTAAAAGGTAAATTACCTTGCACAGTTCTGGGTATTTTCATACTACTAAGGTTACTAAATGGTAAATTACCTTGCTCAGAGTGGGGTATTTTCATACTCACTAAGGTGACTAAATAGTAAATAAGTTTGCTCAGTATAGTGTATTTTCATACTACTAAGGTTACTAAATGGTAAATTACCTTGCTCAGAATTGGGTATTTTCATACTACTAAGGTTATTAAATGGTAAATTACCTTGCTCAGAATGGGGTATTTTCATACTACTAAGGTTACAAAATGGTAAATTACCTTGCTCAGAGTGGGGTATTTTCATACTCACTAAGGTGACTAAATAGTAAATAAATTTGCTCAGTATAGTGTATTTTCATACTACTAAGGTTACTAAATGGTAAATTACCTTGCTCAGTATTGGCTATTTTCATACTACTAAGGTTACTAAATGGTAAATTACCTTGCTCAGTACAGGCTATTTTCATACTACTCCTTATGGTTATTACAAGACTTTATGGCCTAGCGGTTGAGCGCTAGACTGCTAACCCATTAGTTTCAAGTTCGAATCCGGTTTCAAGTTAGTGGAATGTCACTGAGTCTACCCAACTTTGATGGATATCTAGCTCACGTTATGGAAAGTAAAGGACGCTGGGCATAGTGCTGGCCATATTATCCATTTATATGCTGAGGTGACAAAACATATGAACTCTACTTCATCTACCCAATGGATCATTAGATCGAAACTGGAATTTTTTTTTGTACTTACCTTAAGGTTATTTAAGTCATTACTAGCCGTAAGCTTAACACATTCCTATTGGATATTACCTCATTAATGTTTGACCTCATCAACCCAAATGTTAGGTTCTGATGTAAATTAATATGTGGCTTTAAATGAAATACTTGCTGGATTTGATGATAAATTGTAATAAAATAAAAGCACACTAGACATTTTAAAAAACGTGGCTATTCACCTAAAAAATGTATGGTTGTGGCTATTATTGTTATTCTATTTTGAAGTAAAAGTTCTATGTCATCAGTTATGTACTGACATTCAAAAGCTCTGTTTCAAGTTTCGTAGTGTGCATAATATGATCTCATTGTGTATCCTTATCTTCTAAAAGGTTAAACATCAAACAAAATTCATTATCATTGTGTATATTTTATTGATTACTGAAGGTAATTTTTCCTATTTTTAATATACTCCTCTACTTGTAAATAAAAGGAGTAATTTGATCATATTGCACTTTAAAATTACATTAAGCAAATTTATTTATACATTTTGCGTATCACCTACTTAATCATTCAGCCTTATATAGGGTATCAGATACAGTTTTCTTTGTGCATTTATTTTCTGTGCCAATTCATGTTAGATTGTTTACCAACATAGTTCATTTGAGTAACATTTTTGTTTTTGTCTATTTTGGGTTAAAGGTTTCAGGTTTAAAATCATCATTGAAATTTCTGTATTCTTTTTTTGAAAAAATGTAGTGAGCGTTATGCTTCTGTGGACTTGTCACAATATCCAAGCAAAGTATCTTAGCAAATTTTTCCAATGTGTGGCATTATCTGTGATAATGATAAGGTTCTAACCTGTATTCATGATAGAGTTAAAATGAAAGTTAAAAAAAAAATTTCTCCTAACATCTTCCTCTGTTTTTGCAGATCTGTGTCACTATGACCTCAGCGACCCGCATTTCTCTCTAGAGGCCAGCTCACAAGACTACCAGGACTCGGGGTACCTGCAGTGTGAGTACACCATCACCTCGCCTGGGAGCTTTTACATACGGCTTAACTTCACCAACATCGACAGCCTGGTTGACATGCCAGTGGGGGGTGGCGTCAGGAGTCCAGAACAACAGCAGGCGGATACCAACACAACCAACTCCCCGGGCTCTACCCACTCAACCAGCACCTCCTCCAGCGTTGAGGCGGAGCACAACTCAACAACAACAACAAAGTTTAAAGAACAACAACCCACGCAGCGCGTCGTCGAGCCCAGCTCAAAGTTTACAAGCTCAAACCCTGAGCAGAACAATGGAGGTCTAGCGACCAGCCGGTCTGTAGCCGGGACGGTCCGACCGAAACAAGCTAAAGAACAGGATATAAAAGTTAACAAGTCTGTGGTAGAGCTGAAATCTAAACTCTCGAGCTCAGGCAGTGACCTGCTGCAGACGACAGCGTCCTCTGTGACTACACCTTCAGACAGCAGAGAAAACATCTTTCATCACTGTAGTTTAAAGGTAAGTTGCTCTTGAAGAGAACAGACAATGCATAAAGTAAAAAAAGTAAAGTTTCCCTTTCAAACCTGACGGTCTATGGGGCAAGTGAAGTAGAGTTCACTTGTTTCTGTGATCTCGGTATATGAAGAGATAGTGTGGTCAGCACTGTGCCCAGCTGCCTTTACTTTCCCTAATGTGAGTTAGGTACCCATTAGAGTTGGGTGAACTCAGGGACAGTCTACTGACTTGAACCCGGATTTCAAACTCGAGAACCTACAGGTTAGCAGTCCAGCTCTCTACCGCTAGACCACTCCGTCCCACAATGCATACTTAAATATAATTCAGCAATGATTGTTTTTTTGCATTACTTAATTTGTTTGAAAATCTGGCTTTTGGAAAAATCTTTGTAGAAGTCTTACTTTCTAGAAGTCTTATGTTATGAAAGCTACTTTCTTAAAGTTTTGAAAAGCCTTAGTTTCAGTTAAGTCTGTATTTAAAAAGTTAACCCCAGTTTCTCTCACCCTATATATCTGACTAGATTTTTCTTGGTCCATCTGTCTTGTGATTGTTACCTAGATTGTGACCCTAGAGTCATTGACCTCTGGTTACTACCAATGGGTCATCCTATTCTTTGGCCTCTGATTGGTCCCTGACTATCCACTTAACAATACCAGTAGATCCTAGAGTTAACCCTTTTAGGGTGGGACCTTTGGTTAGGATAATGGATGAGTAGGTCAGTGTTAGCCAAACTGTTCCTACAAATTCTTCACTCAAAAGTCTTCATATAATCTGAGACTTAAGTTTAGAAAATGCTTTGAACTAAACAATAGTGTGGTTGTAAATAAATTCTAGAGTAAAAAATGTGTAGATTTTTAAGCACATTTATAATAACAAAACAATGGAGGATTGAAGACTTACAAAATAAAGGTTTCAACCCTCAAACTATATTTCTTTTGTTTACTTTTTCTTCACTAGATTTAAAAAAAAAAATTCTGGCTTCCTTCTTTTATAAAATAAACACCCTTGAAATGTTAAATAATGCAGTAAAATGTCAGCAGCTGTCCTTTTTGCATCTCAGATGAAGTGAAATTTTATCTCTGGCTTTAGGGTAAAATAAGATATTCAACATTTAACATTTGACCATAATTTAGTTCAAATTCTAAATAAGTGGTGAATCCAAGCATTTCTGGTGATTTGTATTTGACTTCTGCTGGGGATTATTAAAATGTATAATTTAGACTTCTTTCTGTGATTTGCTCTGGTACTGCTTCTAATCAATATACAATTAGTGATTTTTTTTTAAAATCTAAGTATTATAGTAAATTATACCTATTTGTGGCTGTGTGTAATTTTGTTCAATTTTGTTCTTTTTTTCTTTCAAGTCTTGTTGCTATTAACATGTTTAGTAAATTGAATATGCAAATGGCTGCATCCCAGGGCCAATCTAAATTTTTAATTGAAATCCAAAATTAGAATCATGTTTTACACGATGTTAGCAAACTATAAGATGCCTTTTAATTTGTAATATTTTTCTTCATGTTTGGTCTTAGTGTTATAAAACTTTAAAAAATAATTTTTTTTTACATTTTAGCTTATTATAGAAGGAGTGAACAGCACCTCACCTTCCAAGCCACAGATCATCTGCTGGCAAAAGTCCTGGGAGAAAAGAATCCCACTTGTCTACCAGTATAGTGTACCTATCAAGATAACTTACATTTGGGACATCAACAGTCATAGCAAGTTTTCACTCCATTTTAGTTTCTTGCATTCAGAAGGTAAACTTGCTATGGGGTTTTGTTTTGTTATAAAAATTTTAGGTCTAAAATTTAAAAATAATGATTTAAAATTTTTTGGTTGATACATAATTTGTTGATGTGGTTATCTGTGATTGAGAATACTCAAGGAGATTAAGATTTTTTTCATGATGGTTTTGGTAATAAGGTTATTGCTACTTTTAGGGTTGGGTTAGGGCTAGAGTTAGAAGGTTTTGTTGAGCAATGACTTAAGAGAATTACTTTCGATTAAAACCTTCTCTTCATATTTAGAAATACTCTCGCTGTTGCAAAAATTCTGATTTTATTGTTTGTGATTCTTCTGAACATGGAGAATTAGGTTAAATAAGCCTCATTATGCATTTATTGTTGTATCATGAAGTATTGTTGAAAGGCAGACTGCATTGATGATGTAGTTTTATATTAGGCTGAATTATAGTATAGCTGTATTCTGCTGTGTTATATAATTTGTTGTATCAGGACTAGAGTATTGTTGAATGTTTCTGGGCTAAGAGTATTGTTGAATGTTTCTGGGCTAAGAGTATTGTTGAATGTTTCTGGACTAAGAGTATTGTTGAATGTTTCTGGGCTAGAGTATTGTTGAATGTTTCTGGACTAAGAGTATTATTGAATGCTTCTGGGCTAAGAGTATTGTTGAATGTTTCAGAGTATTGTTGAATGTTTCTGGGCTAAGAGTATTGTTGAATGTTTCTGGGCTAAGAGTATTGTTGAATGTTTCAGGGCTAAGAGTATTGTTGAATGTTTCAGGTCTAGAGTATTGTTGAATGTTTCAGGGCTAGAGTATTGTTGAATGTTTCAGGGCTAGAGTATTGTTGAATGTTTCTGGGCTAAGAGTATTGTTGAATGTTTACGAGTATTGTTGAATGTTTCTTGCTAAGAGTATTGTTAAATGTTTCAAGGCTAGAGTATTGTTGAATGTTTCAGGGCTAGAGTATTGTTGAATGTTTCTGGGCTAAGAGTATTGTTGAATGTTTCAGGGCTAGAGTATTGTTGTCTTATGCCTTACTACAGTATTGTTGTATATCTTTCAGCAGAGGTAGACTGCAAGTTCAGATGCAACAAACACCTTTGTCTACTGAAGAATCAGTTGTGTGATGGGTTTATTGACTGCCCTGACAACTCTGATGAAGATAAGACATCTTGCATATTAGCAGTTCAAGAATTGGAAAACAGTAGGTCTTAGTTTTCTTGTTATAAAATTATGTTTATTTTAGTCTAGTTTTCTATTTTTCCCTTTGAGAATTTTGATAAGAGCATACATTTTAAAATTTTGCTGTTTAATTTTTATTTATATTAATATTTTCTTGAAATCTCTTATTTCCTTCTGAAAAAACTTGAAAATACTTTGAATTGTAAAGGGAATTTTGATTCCCAGTGTCTGGTACAGAAAAAAATCTATTTTTCTGGTGTTCAGTTTCATCTTTATCAAGATGATTATTATGTGAGGTTGGGTGAATGGAGTCTTTACAGTAGCAGGACAAGGTCAGAGTTCAGAGTTGATAAATTTTGTTTACACTTAGAGTCTAGCTCAATGTTAGGGTTATCAAACTTGATTTGTGGTAGTTGAGGCTGTCTAGATAGGTTTCAAATATTTAGCTTTTAGTAATTGAGGTTTTTAATGTAGGTTTAAAATATTTAGCTTTTAGTATTTGAGGTTTACTAGATAGGTTTAAAATATTCAGCTTTTTTATTTGAGGTTTTTAAGGTAGGTTTAAAATATTCAGCTTTGGTTGAGGTATACTAGGTAGGTTTAAATATTTAGCTTTTAGTTTTTGATGTTTTTATGGTAGGTTTAAAATATATAGCTTTACCCTTTTTATGGTGTTCAAGTGAATGGTGACAAACATCTGAGGTTAAGTTGTTGTGGTTTAGAGTTCAAGGGATGATGGCAAAATAATTTTTCAATTTACATTAACCAGACTAATTAGGCTGGAGAAATTAAAGGGACAGCAACCTATGTGCTATGACATAAAAATATAGCTCTCTTTTATATAAAAGTAAAAATGTTTATAGGTAGGACCTATTCCTCCAATCAACCCCCACAACCTTACATACTGTAAAAACGTTTGAGATTTTTTTAAAAATCAGCTTAGTGAAAAATTACTCTTTAGCGCACTGGGTGGAATGGCTTACGATTGCTAACTATTGAATTAGCAGAAATATAAAAATTAAAGTCAATGTTACAGTGTTGCATTGTACCATACTTTCCCCATAAAAGTAAATAATACAATACCCCTTTCCTTCTCTCCTCTTTCTCCCAACCTTACATCTTATAATAATAATATTCAGTCTACACAATCTCAAGAATTGTAATACTGCACTTGTTATTAAACTAGTAAAAATGTATTAAAATCCCTTTCACATTATATTAAACAAGATTTTAATATATTAACATTCTGTCGTAACTGGGAAATTAAAATTAAACCTGTCAAGTATTTTGTTAAAAATGATAATTAATCTAACTCTGGGCCAGATTTATTTTGAGCTGTACTTTAAAAATCAGATTTGAGTGATGCCTCAGTTGTCGGTGTGGTAGGCCATGCGTCATTGTTGTCTCACTAGTGTAGTCTCCTACTTTGGTTTAGTTAGCTACAAAACTTGGTTTTTTTATGTTTGGCACAGAAGCTAGACAGTACAAAATCTGATAATTATCAAACTTTTAAATTGAATTGAGAAGGATTAATTTTAAAATATTGTCCTTCAGTATAAATTTAGAGACATTGTATGAATGAAATATTTTTTTTTTCTGGCATTCATTTGTACAGATTATCATTTACATATATGGGTGGGTGTTTTTGTAAAGTTGCGCTTTTAAAGTGCTTGAATCCCTTGTATTTTTACCTCACTGTAACACTTTCATGTTATATCGCTCATTGCTACTTATCGTGTGATGGCTTGGCCTAAGTGTTAGGTTGCTAACCAGAAAGTTGCGAGTTCAAATCCTGGTCCAAGTCAGTTAACTGTCCCTGAGTCCACCCAGCTCTGATAAATACTTAACCCATGTTTGGGAAAGTAAAGGCGGCTGTGCAAAATGCTGACCACACCTTGCCTTCATATGCAAAAGTCAAGAAACATGAACTCTACTTCACCTGTTCTAAAGAGGATTCTTTACCATTACTTATTCTTAGTAAACCTAAACAGTTTTATCACAGCAGCATCAGATTGACATTGACTTGTGTTTTACTTTTTCAGGTGATTCCCATTTAAAGGTAATAATTATAGCAGTCATCTTCAGTCTCGTTATCATTGCTGGTATTGTTCTCATGATCAGCCGGCGCCGCAATGGTGCACGTCAGGGACGGAATTCTCTTCTGCCAACTCCACAGTCTCAAAGCACAGAGGTAACTTTAGCACTTACGTAATACATCACAATGTGGTAAATATAGTACTTGCATAATACATCACATAGCGGTAAATATAGTACTTGCATAATACATCACATAGAGGTAACTATAGCACTTGCTTAATACATCACATAGCGGTAAATATAGCACTTGCGTAATACATCACAAAGCGGTAAATATAGCACTTGCATATTACATCATACAGAAGTAACTATAGCACTTGCGTAATACATCTCATAGCGGTAAATATAGCACTTGCAAAATACAGATAATAGAGGTAACCATAGCACTTGTGTAATAGATCGTAGAGAAGTGACTATAGCACATGCATAATATTTCAAATAAAGGTAACTATAGTACTTACATAATACATCATACAGAAGTAAATATAGTCCTTGCATAGTTTATTTTTTATAACATTAAAAGCACCAAATACTGAACATATAGAGGTAGCTAGAAATTGGATAATACATGAATTGATTCACCAAATACTGTTACATCTTTAAATACACTAAATTAAATTAAAATAATTACGTCAGATATAATGCTATATTCTCAAATAAACAAAATAACATATCAAATACATTCTCAAATATATTATCAATTATAAAAGCAAGTAGATAATGCACTTGACTAAAACTATATAAAAAAACACCAAAACAAATATAGTAAAAAATTAGTAACCCTGAACAATAAATTTCTTGACACTATTGATTAACTTAACGAAGCAAAATAGTGAAAATAGTTTTGTCAAAAATTAGGATCAGCGTATTGAAACAAAGCTTTTTGTTTCTATTTTCTTAACCTAATTAAAAAATTACTGTGACAGAAATTTAAGTTAAAATGCAATTTTATTTATAGCCTCAAGGTCTGACATTTTTTTTCCCTCTTCTATTTTTGGCTCCCCAGGTTTTCCGCTCCAGTTCTATGCAGGATAGCAGCCAGTACGAAGCTTTGCTCCACGACCGCCAGGCAAGCTGTGTCCAGCACCCCCAGGCGCTGACCTCAGCCACCGCCAACCCCAACTGCTCAGAGAATCACCACCTGCTCTACCAGCAGGTGTCTGAGCACCATCAGCAGACTTTAAACCCACACCGCCGGGTGCACCAGCTGCATCGCCACCCGTGTCCTGAAAACATGGCGGCCGAGACAGCCGCCCCGATGGACAGGTCAAACTTCACCAGGATGTTCCGCGCACACCAGCAACCGCTCGTCAGCAGACAGCCTCAGCAGTTGAATAACCCCGCTCACAGTCCGAGTGAACACTACCCCCCTCAAATACCAGTATCCAGGGATGGTGAGGAAGGGTTCGCCTCTGCCCAGAAATCCCTCAACTCCATCAAGTTGAGAAGCTGGCAGGAAGAGGAAGTCTTCCGTCCCCCGCCCAACCGGACCGTTCATGATCGTGATAGCCCCCCACCTCCATACTCTCTTAACCCCCCGGGGGCGAAGAGTCTAGACTCCCTCCCGTCTGTTGGGGTCAGTGTACTACGGCAGGCCCGTGCTTCTCCGGAGAGCCCACCCACGGGGGTGCCTCGATGCCACAGTCTATCGTGTCATCATTGATCCAGTATTCATCATTAGCAATCAAGGATTTCTGTCTATTTTCTTTTTTTTTTTTTTTTTCGTTTTTTTTTTATACTGCTAGGAGGTGGGGACTATTCTTATTCCAGAGAAACGTCTTTGCTCAGAAACCTGCTCAGATGTCAGTAGCAATTCAGCAACTCTCTTGTTGGACTGTGACCTTTCACCTGGAACTGATACACCCATGTCATCACACTTCAGCCATTTACGACCAGTTTCAAATTTGCAGCCGTTGTTTTAAATATTATCAACCCCTTCCCCCACCAGCTCTTTCCCCTTTATTCACCCCCCCCCTCTCCCACCCCCTTGCAGCCATATTAAGGGCTTTCATATAAATTATTTTCTTCATTCGGATGATACCCTGGTTTTCTTCCTGACTCAAGCACTGAGGTTAAAGTTGATTTGGACTGGACTAGTTATAATAAGTCCCTTTTCTTTTCCCCCAGTTCAGTTTATTCAGCAGAAACTGTATTGACTTCAGTGATAATCATCTTTCGTCATCTTCATCATCACCCTTCATCGATTTCCCCAGAGTGTTAGTCTAAAATGAGGAATGATTATAGAAACTTATAACAAATTGGGAGTTTTACAATAATACTACACGCATGAATGAGGCCGAGGACAAGTGGAGTGTGTAAATCAAAGGACTACACTAGTGGGACACAGTCTAGCTGAGCGCGTCAACTTCATGCCACTTTTCATTGATATGTGTACTGTTTTTTTTTCTTCTAATGTGATGCGCCCCAAGTCTGTGGCTAAAATTTCAAGAAATTTATATATATATATATATATATAAATATATATAAAATAACAGCATTTATGTGCTTATGTACAAAGAGCTCGTTTCATCATTGCACACACTCAGTAATTTATTTTACGAAATATAAACTATCATCCTTACATTTGATTTACATATAATTTTTTTTTTGTAGTCAGGCAAATGTGGCTATAATATTTTACATGGACTGGAACAGGCAGTCCAACTAGAGTTAAGTAGATTCAGAAAATCACTATTTAAAATTTTGAATAATTCATCCATCTTTCTTTAATACTTGTATTTTGAATGCCCATTATGAGAAATGAGACAATCATAAATAACTCATGCTTATGAGCCATTTACTTTTTGTGATTTTTGTCTGATTTTGTGTATGTCTCCAGCACTGAGTTTTTTTTAAAAATTACCTTGGTCAGTAAAAATATTTGTCAAAATTTTAAAATATCGGCTTTATGAAATATAATTCAACAGTTTATTTATTGATAAAATTCGAGTTATAGAAATCCAGATTATGTCTAGTCCCAAGTTGAAAAAAAAAATTGTTAGCATTATGACAGAGTGAGTTTATTGGTGAAAGACAGAACATTATAACTACAAAATAGGAAACTATATAAGTTAAGAAGCTATTTTTGAAAAGTAAAGAAGGCAATTATGGAATCTATGGGTCTATGTATGTACTAGTATTTAAATCAAAAGCAATTTTTCATATCATTTGAAAATAATATAATTAGTTAGTATTTTTTAAAATTATAATTTAAAAAAATTTCATATTTGGATAAATGTTTTTGTGATGTGACTGCATTGTTTGTGTAATAATTTATTTCAAATTTAAAAAAGAAAGGCAACATTCAAGCATATGTTTATTGAGTAGGTTTAGGAAATAAACAAAGCATTTAAGTACATTAGGTTGACATGTTATAACACTCATTGTGCCAGATTTCTCACACGAATAATGCTTTATGTTTATGATCAAACTCATATGTATAAACAAAATGAAAGTTATTTTGTTATATGTTTGATAATGGATTGTCTAGCTGTAGCAAAGATGAAAAAAAAAAGCCAACACATTAATAGTGCATAAGGGAGTTGTCATACGTGTGCTTGGAAACTCAATGGCCTAATATCCGTGATTGTTCATCCATCCAGATGGCATTGCCCAATTGCCCATTCTTATAACAACTTTGGCCTGATCTACCAAAATGCTTTCACAACTACATGTTTGCTGCATATTCCCCGCAGCTAATGAACCATGTTCCCTTCAATGTTATTAATTTATTATTGTTTATCATCCTTGTTATTTCAAAATAACTACGGAGATATCTATTTTATATTTTGATTTGAAGTTTGTAAGAAGGTGTTTTTTTTTTATATATGGTGTTTGATTGGAGACAGATGTGTGTTCTGTTTTTTTTTTTAAATTCCTTTAATATTCTTGTTGTCAATAATATGTTAAAAAGATACAAATTTGTGATCATATTTGTTTTAATAATAATAACAATTATTATTATTTCATTAAGATAACTATTTTTGTTCCTCTGATAATGTTGGCATGTTTAGGCTAGTTGTTTGTTTACTTTACAGAAGTAATTAACTTTTGTTTTTGATTGCATTGGTTTAAAAATCTGGCCAAAGAGTTTATACATAGTGTTTTCTAACTAGAAGCTTCTCCAGTGAAGGTTCTATAAGTGTATTTATCCCCTAGGCCTATATAGTTTTTTAAAAAGTGAGGGCTTTAAATATATAATGAAAAGAAAAACCCTTATCTTAGTGTTAGCCTAATATTGTCATTAGCGGTCATCTTCAAAGTAAAGGATCCTGAAAAATGGTTTCACATAGAAGCCAGTACTATTGTGTCTTTGTATAATCAGCATTTTTACATCTAGAAGTTGCTTGAAAACATAATCTTTTTTTTTCTTGAAATTATTTTCAATAACTACTTGTAAACTAAAACTATAAATTTGTAATATTTATTGCAGTCAGTGTTGAGTTTATCTCTGCATAAATATGTATCTATTTTTAACTCAAGGGTACTCACCCTGTTCGGCTCTCTCTAGAATTAGCTAATTAGTTAGGGTTAAATCTTTATCATTATCAACTAGTTATAGTTCTTTGATTACTGTATACATTGATCGAACTACAAGTTAAATATTAAAATTAGGATACATAGGTAGAGGTTAACTTCTTCAGTAATGCATGGGTTACTTTACAATGCAGTTCATAGATGTTTTAGATGTCATTTTTAAAACTATAAACCATTCAGATATTTTTCCAATAATGCTTTTGTACTGATTTATTTTATGAAATATTTTTTTTTTCAAAGTCTCAGCCTCAGGGGTGGGGGGATGGGGTGGGTGGATTAAAACTGGTCATGCTTGATGATAAATCCTGTGCCTATTTCCTTGCTGGTTGTGATTTTGATAACAAATTAGCTTGTTATAACTATCTGGCGTGAATTAAAATGTTATTAATTCGTGCATCCTCCATTTGTCCTTACATGTCATTCATTTTTTTTTTATTTAAAAAATAATAAATTAATCCTCCTCACTTTCTTTAGTGAAAGTTCAAATACAGTCTTGTCTGGTCTGCTACTAGGTCTACCTTGTTAGGTCTGAGGTTATTAGTAATGTCACAAAAGGTCTTGTCTGTTAGGTCAGTCAGAAGGTCTTGGTGAGCACAGTTCATTTTAAGCTCTCTTTTCCTCCCAAACTCTGATGTTGGTTTTAAGCATTTTAGCTCTCTTTTTGCATAAAAGTACTTTTTTATTCGTTTCAAATGTCTGCTCTAGTACGGAAACCAAAAAAATTTAAGCAGATGATTTTTTTTTAAAGTGAAGCCATGTTTATGTATATTCCAAAATATTGTCTTAAATTCCTGGGTGTGTCCTTAACTATCAGATTTATCTTTAAATAAACCAAAAGATGTCCATCAGTTTCTAGCAGTAGTGTAGAAAATTTTGGATAAAAGTCTGCAGGGATAAAAGTAATGGTCTGGTTTTTCAAATTTTACTAAATTAGCTTCTCATAACTTCTAGTGAATGGTTAGAAGCTTATTTCCACGTGTAAAAAAAAGTTCATAAATTTTAATACAAATGAATGTTTATTTTAAAAATAAAACATTTATAATTTTAAATTTGGGGTTAGACTTCTATGGGGGATCACCAGGTATTATTGTTATAAAGCTAGAGAACTAGATTGACTAGACTAGGTGGAATGTAGGGAAAAGTCCCTAAGCCTTGGTATTAAAGGGACGTAACTTCCACCCTCACACATGCTGGTGAAAAGGGACACAATTCAGGCCCATTTATTTAATAACTGATATTTTTTCTGCTCATAGCCCAAGATATTTCTTATTTGTGGCCATCCATATTTATGAATTTTTGTACATACATTATTGACTTGATCACGGGTTCTTAAATTGTGAAGAGTGGGGCCTACATCATTGCAACATGTATGTCAGTGCAGGGGACTGTGTCTTGTTTTACTTGAGGATCCTTGAGCACACATAACATAATCTCAACACGTGTGTCAGTGTAAGGAATTAATTGAGAACCCTAAACTATTACATAATCACCTGTACAATAACATGGGGGGTGTATGGTGATTCATTTGAGAACCCTTGAGTGAAAGTCATTTTTTTTTTCGGTTTCTTTTCCTGGCTGTGCATTGTGTTGTCTTGTTCTGTTTCAGTTTTCTGCTCCACTTCTGAGGTGTTGTAGGCGTGGCTCAGATGAACAGTCTCATCTATGGCTCAGAGAGCAGAATTTAAAAAAAAATTGTTCCGTTTTCTTTTACATGACTAGGCACTTTTTTTTTGAATTTCCAGTGACTTGTTTATTAATAAAGAAGCAAACAGAATATTGTCTTCCTTCTCTTTTCATATCCTTTTTCCCCATCGTCATCTTATCTCAGTTGAAATTTGTAACTCCACTGACAAACCTAAAGTTAGATGCATGCAAGTAAAAAACTCAAAGGTTAGCTTTTAAATGTAAAAAGGAAAACTGATTTGATAGGCTTCTTTAAAAGGATTGAAAAAAATGTATAAATTTTAAAAAAATCTCCAATTTATACTGGTGAAGCAATTTTGTGTTTTTCTTTTATAGACCGCGCTCATGAAATATTATAAGATTTATAAAATGTTTGGTTCGGAATGAGTTTATTTTATAAATTTCGGAGTAAGTTTACTGGCACTATAGGTAAATATGAAGTTGCTTTTGGTCACTGGTGGATATCAGGGCTGATTCCCCTTGTTTGTGTGCAGGCCTAATTGAACAAACAAGCTCCTTTCGACTCAACTTTTGATCTGTTAAAAAATCTGTGTTATTATTGTAACATGTTGTCAGGAAATCTTTTCTACTTGCTAAGCTGGTGTTATTAATGTAATCTGAATAGGGCAACAGATTTGTTCATTTTTCTACTGGTCTTTCTGTTTATGAGGAACATTTGTTCATGATTGTTGTCAATGACTACAAAATGATTTCCAAAGGAATATTCTAATTTGAAGAATGAATTATTTCTTGATGTATACATTTTAAAGCTATACCAAAATTTATTAGAGAATTTTAAAAATAATAGGAATAACCAAAAAAGTTATACATTTTTAAAGAGAATAGAACATGATAAAACTAGTATTACTTTAAAATGTTCTATTAGGAAACAAATTATTTTTAAAGTTGATCTTTGATTATAAATTATTTGTTAGCTGTTTTATACCGACCATGTTCACAAAATTCTTCACAATTCCTCATCTGTTTCTTTCATCACGAGAATCATGCTGCATCTTGTTGGCTCTTTCAGTTTAAATTTTATAAATTCAAAAACAATTTAAAATGGCATAAAATGTAGTGGAGAGTGTTTTTTTTTGCAAAGTTCAAGGTCGTGTTACCAGAGGGCAGCTGTTGCCAGTTGGGTCTTTCAACAGGCAACAGCAATGTTCATTTTGTGTTATTTTATCTGCCAGATATTTATTCAGGGCAAGCTGTAGCAAGTTTTTGTTTTTCTTTTAAAATCATGTCCACAAAGTTTGTTTATATAATTATAATTACCTGCTTGTCTGCTTTGTAGCTTCAGGCCACTGGGTCATACACACCACTGGGTCATGACACACCTCTAGGTCGTGGCGCTCCACTGGGTCATGACACACCTGGGTCAAGACACACTTATGTCATGACACACCACTAGGTCATGAGGCCCTGCTGGGCCAATGCCAACGAATTGCCTGTGTTTGTTTTCTAGACTACATCAAACTTCATTTATTTTTAAAAATGTACCTGTTCATTTTTTTAGAAAAACTAAAAATTCAGTTTTTAACTTAGACTAGGTTGTCATATTAGTCCCACCATAATGCTGTTATGTTTTTTATTAAATGGTGTAAATTTATTTAAGATAGAGCTTAGCTTTATTTTTCTATGATTAATAACATTGATGTTTTGCAACATAGTAAAACTGAACTTTTAGAATAATATTCCGTGACACGACTTTTAAGATAAAGTCTGTATATTTTTTCCCCTTTAGTGGCCTAGACCTACGCAAAACATGTCAGGTCGCTGTATGCTAATTTATGATGATAAGTGTATGACCATGTTGTATTCTGCACGAATGCAGATTTTTTTTGACTGGATTTATAATTAGTTATTGCATTGTTAATCATCGTGATGGAATACATTTTTTTTTGGTTCGCAAACACTTGTGTCAGTGGAAGATTTTTAAACATTTTTTTATTTATTTTAAGTTTATATTATTGTCTTTGTTATTAAAAAAAATGATTTTTTTCAAACCTAAAAGTACAGTTTGGTGTCATACACTGGCAACCACTTTATATGTACATATTTTAATAACTATATATATATACATATATATGTTATATATATATATTATATGTATATGTGTATATGTATATATATACATATGTATATATATGTATATTTATATATATGTACATATGTATATATATATATGTATGTACATGTGTATATATATATATATATATATATATATATATATATATATATATATATATATATATATATATAGTTAACTTGGATGTGTTGGAATGAAAGACTATGCTTTATTTTTGTGTAGAAGCTGTTTAGATTGTGTGATGTTATTTTTTTACATTATGAATTATGGCCTGTTAATAATGCATGTCTGCTGTCGTGCTTGACTGTGTATATAGATGAACCAGTAGTTTCCCCTTACAGTAATCTGTGATGAATTCTATGATATAGATGCACTGGCTTTATTTTTTGTGGGTTGTTGCCCCTTTTTTTCCTATTGGTCAAATATCTTGTTAAGTGTATGTAGTAGAAGTTTTTTTTTTTAATACCTTCAAGAAAAATAATAATAATAATAATAGTGGGTGTGTCTGTGTGGCCTAATTTTACAATCAGGTGCTGCTAGTGTGACTGGATTGGGCAAAAAAAATATTGTAGGATTTAGCGGGAAGAGGGTGCAAGTGCAGAGAAATTAGCGAGGGGGAAAATTAAATGGATGCTGTTTGTTAGCGAAAAAATAGAATTATAATGCAGAATTAAGTACATGATGAGAAAAGATAAATTTAATGCTTTTGTGTAAAAGATAAATTGAATGCTTTTGTGTGTAAGGTTATCCTTGAATAGGAGTATAATACTGTAGGTTGTCAAGACAATCTGCCTGCATAAATTTTGTGTGCTTTCTAGGGTATTGTTTAAACAAAAAAAAATATTTAAATCCCTCCCCCACCCCTAAAAGACATGCATTATTGCTCATACGAGTGGGGGAAACTGAATGTTGTGTGCAAGGTCTGACTTGAGTGACCAATGGTCAGTTTAATGGCTGTAGTGTATGTGACTAAAATGGCTATATTACTGGTCATTCATTGCTGTATTTACTGTATCATACAACAGAGACATTGATTACAATGCTATCCTGCTCTGCCTGTGTTTGTTATTTTTATAGTGTTGTTACGAAAATAGTACTTTTATTTTTGTGAAGGGGTTTATCCAATAATACGCCATTTTTTATACAAGTTCCTACCCCAATTATAATAGGTAACTGTGATTGCAATATTAGTGTGGGCTATAAATATCATTTTTAGCTTGTGTACTGATGAGCTTGTAACGTATACAATGAATATGGGATGGCGTGGTCTAGAGGTAGAGGGCTAGACTGCTAGCCTGAAAGTCTTGAGGTTGAATCTGGGTTCAAGTCAGTACAACATCCCTGGGTCCACCCAGCTCTGATGGATACCTAACTCACGTTAGGGAAAGTAAAGGCTGCTGAGCACAGTGCTGACCACACTATCTCTTCATATGCCGAGGTCACAGAAACAAGTAAACTCTACTTGCCCCATAGACCATCAGGTTCAAAAAGGGAACTTTACTACCAAAACAGCTAAATAAGAGGCTAATAGTTTCCCAGGCAATATAAGCAGCAAAAGTTTTTGAATACACTGGACAAAATGAAAGAAAAAAAAACTTTCCTTCTCACGTTTAATAACAATAAAATATATATAATTTCATTCAAACTTTCACACACTGATACACACAACAAAACACACAAGCTTAAGCTACTCCGAATTTCTTCTGTTTGAAAGAGGGTGGCAAATTGTCTTCAATGTCAGCTGGTGGTCTTTCTACAACAACGAGCATCCCGTTGGAGGTGAAGTCAGCATACAACAAGAACTGGGACAGAAATTAAATCAATTTACAAGATACACCATTTCAGTTTTATTTTTATAAATTACTAGTTAATCGTGATTTGGTTTGAATACTGGTACATATGCCGAGGTCACAGAAACAAGTGAAATCTACTTCACTTGCCCTATAGACCGTAAGGTTTGAAAAGGGAACTTCCACAATAACTAGAGATTAAATAGTCAGCCACACAGTCCCGACAAATGTTATGGCCATAGTTCCTACATGTCTTGGCTACATAAAGTTTCAAAGACTGCTACACAATATCAAAGAAATATATGACAATAGAATTCCTCCCACAGTAATAACTCCACCAGTCAATGAGGTCAGTGACCATGGCTGAAAAAAATATATATCTAAATGGAAGAATGATCTTTACCTTGTACTTATGACATGTTCTGACAATGGAAGAAAGTTTGTAGAAAACATAACTGTTGGGTTTGGTTTCCTTATCTTTTTTAGCTAGTGCCTAGACAAGTGAACAAGAAATCAATTCATTAGCTATGGTAAAAAAATAATTGTTGAGCTACTAAAAAGTTTTAAATGCAGATTATTAAAATTAATAATAAGTTGTTTAAAATTGCTTAAAATTGTACTTAGGGTAGGAAATTGTAATTAATTTGTAAAAAAAAATAATTTAAAAAAAAAAAAAATGTATATTATAAATTTAACTACAGCAAAAAAGTCTTGAGGTTTAGTCTAAAATACAACTGACCTTAGCTTTATCTAGCACACACAAGGTAGAGTTAGTGTGAAGCATGATATTGTTGGGGTTGTCTGGACAGTAGGCAATGTTGCTAATTGTCCTCATTGGCTTGAGCCAGTGTTTGGGGATTTTGGCACTAATCTCACGAGACCAGCTGGAATATTCTTTCATCTCAATATCAAACTCATAAATCTGGAGAGAACAATGTAGGACCAGTGCATGTTATAACTGATTCATTTTGCAAAAAAAAAAAAAAAAAAAAAAAAAAAAAAAAAAAGTAGAAATTGTGTTACATATAAAAGAAACTGTAAAAACTAAAAGTTTAGGGGCTAAACAATACTTTTTATACTATCCTGTGTATTCAGCATAAGACTTCTTTTGTATCTTTTCTTTGCAAAGTAATAAATAAAATCAACACCAAATAGTTAAAAAAATTTAAATTATGAAAAGTTACTGAATAAATGTCAAATGAATGACTGATAAGTGAGAGATGAAGATTTAACTTAAAGATTTAACGGTGACTTACTGCATGGTTACTGTAGGCAATGACCAGGAGTGGACTGTGTGGAGAGAAGGCTAAGGCACTGACTTGGGCTGTTTGCACCGGGCAGGAACACACATGCTTTATGGAGGAAATGGTACACTCATTACATCAATACACTAATTACTTAATTGGTACACTCATTACACTAATTACATCAATACACTAATTTACTTAATTGGTACATTCATTACACTCATTACATCAATACACTAATTTACTGGCACACCATTTCATTAAGGATAATTCTTTTTTTTTTAATACATGTCTAGTATGGATAGGAGAAGGCGTTGGGATGGAATTAGTAGCATTACACATTGAGTATTTGTTTACAATGCCATGTTGAACCAGAACAAGAGCTGCTGAAAAGGCAGAATTTTGTAGTTTGGTGGAATCAGAGAGCAGTGACTAATAATCTTGTCCTTTGGCATCAAGTTAGAGGTGTAAACACTGACAAGTAAACACCAAAACAGAATTTCTGTCTGGTAAACATCAAATACCCAACAACAAGATGCTGGGCTAAGTCAACTCTGACCTTGTAATAGGAAAGAAACATGTAGAGACAAATACAGAGATTTGGTTGTTTCCTTAAATAAATAGTAGTGATACACACAGTAGTAGAATCAAGAATGAACAAAAAAAAAAATAGAAATCTATGTCCCAATCTTGATTATTCTCTATTCATCATCTATTAAAATGTTTAAGAGTACGATAGAACATACAACACAGACAATAGAAAACATACAACACAGACCATAGAAAACATACAACACAGACAATAGAAAACATACAACACAGACAACAGAAAACATACAACACAGACAACAGAAAACATACAACACAGACAATAGAAAACATACAACACAGACAATAGAAAACAGACAACACAGACAATAGAAAACATACAAAAACAACAGAAAACGTAACAGACACATACAAAAATGACTTACAACACAGGAGGGCCACTGGTAGATGTGAATGCCATGGTCAAGTGTGGCTGTAGCAAAGTATTTGTTGTCTGAACTAGTGACCAGACGATGTATTGGGGAATCTGAAATGAACAGATACAAGATTTTAACAAACAAAAATTACAAATTGGTTGTTGTTTTAGTCATTTTTTAAAAATGTTTACACTAATGACAAAATTAAGGTGAAGCTACTCTTTAAGAGTGAAATATAGTAATCAAATGTTGAGTTACATTGTCATTTAGTAAAGAAAGCCTGTAATAATAAATGAGTATGTCTAAAAAACATTTCATAATTTAAGTAACAATTTTTTAAAGTTTAATGAACACTACAGAGATGTAATTTTTAAGCAGACCAAGGGCAGTAACTTACTTGATAAATTTTTAACAGAATGTTTTATCTCCCCTGTTTTGATGTTTACAGCTTGTATGACAGATGTTGTTAGGACAGCAAGGAGGTGGCTGCTGTCAGCTGTGAATGTCATAAGGAGAGCTGGGTGGGCGAATGTTGAGGACAGCTTCTCTAGGCTCACTTTTGGCATGCTGGAGCTCTCATTCTCCTGAAGATGGTGGGAAAAAAATGGATACAAGTTGAAATGTTTATGAAGTACCCAAAAATTTTTGAATTGTTAATAATAGAAATTCCCTACAATTTTTTGAGATGTTAATAATAAAGTTTCCACAATTTTTTAAAATGTTTTTTAATATTTTTTTTTTGCAATGTTGATAACAAGTAACCCAACATTTTTCAAGATTAAAATCCACTCCCATTTCTTGTATTTTTCTCTAAATAGTGACCTAACATTTGCAACCAGTGCAGATCTTCACACTAAAATGTAGTGTTATGAAGCTAAACAAAGCTAAGTGTTCTTTTAAAAACAAACCAATTTGTATTTCCCCTGCTAAATTTGTTACATCATTGATGAATCTTCTTCTTCTTTCTTAATTTTAGTGTTAGAAGGGATCCCCCTCCAAAACAATTAAGGATACATGTCAACTGGTTATGCACCATTGAGGCCATTTGACTCTGATTTCAGCCTGCTTTTCTTTTTGGATTTGCTTCCATAGCCTTTGTCCAACCAAGAACAAACTACAAGACAGCAGTTGTTTAATATTGGAGTTTTCTCTCCTAGAAGAATGGCTGTCCCCAGCATTTATGAATGCTTCCAAAGCAATGTACAAAGTATTTGTAGTTTCCCAGAAATAATGACTTTATGAGTCACTGTTTGTCTCAAAACTTAGGGTTCTCTGATAACAAAGTAGCAAATACCACTTTTCCATCAACCAAGCGACCTACCATATTTAAGCTGAAGACTCTGACACTTTTGGTATCAGAAAATGCGACAGTGCCGTTGTTTGAAATGGCGCTGCACAGGATTTCATGTCCTTCCCTAGCCTTCAGTTTAACCAGTTTGATCCTTTTCTGTGTCAGGGGCAGCAGGCCTCTTTCCTCAGCTGAAAACCCATAAACAAAACTTTAAAAAATATAACATTTTTGTTTTAAATGTTAAAGTATAAATAAAATAATTTTAAAAAATAAAAATTTTTTTAAAAAATAAATAAAACTTGAAAAACAATTTTTTGTTTTAATTGAAAATGTATAAATAAAATAAAAATAAATGAATCTTGAAATTCCATAAACAATAGTTATATAAAGTGGCATAAATACAATTTTCAAATGTACATTTAAAACTTTTCTTGATTTATTTTGAATATAGAATAGTGTAGTACAGCACAGTAATATAAAGACTGGTAAAAAAGCTAGAATACCAAAAGGTGTATTGGCCGCTCCCAGACGCCAAACTTCAATGTAGTCCCTGTACTGAAGCTGCACTAGGTTCCTGTCTTTAGCAAGGTGGACCAGATCAGGCTGAGGAGGTAGACATAACTTATTAGCAGGGCAGTACCTCATGAGACAAATGGGCTTGTTATCTCCCAGTATACAAGAAATGGTTGGGTCAAGGGAGGTAAATTAAGTAGTAGGAGGGGAGAAAAAATTTCTTACACCAGAGAGTGAAGTCACTTCTAAAACAGATTGTTTCCCTTCAAGTTTGGCTACATATACAATTGTATCAACACCTGTGAATAATAAAAGGTCATTTTTGTAAAATTATTTTAAGTACTTTTGGTTACAGAGTGTTTAGGGCTGCATGAAGAGTAACAAAAAATAAACTTATACACAATGAAGTGTGAATAAAAATAAACTGACCCCAACTAAACAAAAAACAAACTTTTTAAATGTGCGAAAAAAATAAAATAATGATGATGATGACATCAAAGTGTGTGCACTTAAGAGTGATGAAGAATGTTGCTCTACTCCCAGATAACCATTAACATAAACCAGAGTTTAGTTGACCATGTGTACTATGAGTGATCTTGACCTACCCCCAGATGCCAGGTAACCATTGACATATGCCAAAGCTCTGATGTCATGTGTACTATGAGTGATCTTGACCTACCCCCAGATGCCAGGTAACCATTGACATATGCCAAAGCTCTGATGTCATGTGTACTATGAGTGATCTTGACCTACCCCCAGATGCCAGGCAACCATTGACATATGCCAAAGCTCTGATGTCATGTGTACTATGAGTGATGTACAACTAACTGTTGACCTACCCCCAGATGACAGGCAACCATTGACATATGCCAAAGCTCTGATGTCATGTGTACTATGAGTGATGTACAACTGTTGACCTACCCCCAGATGCTAGGCAACCATTGACATATGCCAAAGCCCTGATGTCATGCGTGTGCCTTGTGTGAAGCAGCCTGTGGACCCAGCGCTTGCGTTCTGATGCTGGATCAACAGAGTACAGGCTGAACTGATAAACTGACGAGTCAACTCCACCAGTGAACACTTTGGTTTCATCCTAGGAAAACAATGATTACACACACTGTGATGAAAGATATTCATTTTATATAAGAGAAAACTCTGGTTACTTATGGATAGTTACAACATAATATTATTCAATCTTAAGTAAGTATATATAATATACCTCACTCAAACACAGGGACAATACATCAGCCATATGACAGTGAAAAGTCTGAAAATGGTAAATAATTGGTTCTTACTTAAATCATTTCAATAATTGCTTACTTGACAGCCTTTATATAGAGGCATGTGCTAAATATTTAATATGACATAATTAAGACAAACATGAATATTATACCTAAAAAAGTTAGCAAGATGAAATTTAAAAAAAAATTCCATGATAAATTTAAAATAGAAAATAAAACCTTTTATATAAACAGCCATTACTTACTTTTAACTGTGTGGATTCTTTCCCATTCCAAAAGGTGACCACACCTCGAGAGTCTCCACTGATTATGGTGAAGTCCCTGTAAACAATTACGAAGAAATTATAGTAAATACTTCTAAGTAAATATTTGATAAATTAAAAGAAAAAAAGTTTAAAATTTAGTACACAACTAATGTGATGTCTCCTATTAAGGAGTAGTGAGTACAGTCTTTACTTTTTCAGATGTCTTAAATTTGAAGACCAAGAAATATGCTTCAAAATATGAGCTTGTGTTTCTAAATGCTCTCATTCAAAATCCATTTTTCTTCTATCTACCTCTAGATCAAGTCTCCATGTTATCCTTTTTCAGTGGTTTATTTTACAGTTAATTTCTTTCCAATTACTTTTACACAAAATTTTAGTTAGTTGACAACTATCACAGGAATAAACACATTTTTTCTTTTTATCTTTCACAAAATTTTGGTAGCAATTGTTATTGATTTTATTTTGCTGTTTCTCAGGCATAAAGATGTGTTAAAATCAATAAAGATGTGTTAAAATTACCTGGTAACCCTGATACACCATACAATGGTGTCTTTGTGGAATTTCCTGCCTAAAGTCATGCGACTGATTGGTTGTCCTGACTTGACACTCCACTGACGAATGTTGTTTATCCCACCTGTGACTATTAAATTTTCCTCCCCCCTGTTGTACCATGCTATAGAAAGAATTCGCCCTGGTGATAAAAAACAGTTTTGATCAGTTTAGTTTAGGTGTAGGATATCAAAAACAAAGGCATAATTCTAACAAATAAATAAAAAACCGGTGAAGCAATTTAATTTATAGGACAAAATATTTTTTAAAATTTCAAATATACTTAATTATTTATTTTAGCTTCATAGATATCTCAAACCTTATGTTCAATATACTAGTTCAATAACATTATGTGCAAAGCAATATTGTGAGACCTTATTCTGTTTTCATTCGTCTATTCACACAGGTGTAGTTTTTTTTTTAGAAGGTAACATTAGTTTTATTAAACACCAGCACTGCCTTTTATATTTATACATGATGTATGTTGGCCAGCTTGAATTTTGTTATAAAAGTATTGATTTTAATAAAATTTGTGGATTTTACTTTGGTTAGCTTTTAAATCTTTAGCTTTCATGCCTAACAACAGGTAGGCTATATCGTAATTTAATTTTACAGGAACAATAATTATCTTAATATTCACACTTGACTTAAAGTTTTGCAAATACTTATTACAGTTTTTCAAGATTTCTGGAGGTGTTAAAAACAAATACAACTAAATATTAGGTTACCTTCCTGTTTACCAAAGCCCCTCAAGAACTGTAACTCTTCACTAACATCAAACAGAGCTATACACCCATCCTCAGTACCAGCCTGTACCAGATGGGACAAAATAGTAGGATATAAAAAACTAAAAATTAACGGAACAAAAGAAAATTTGAAGTGTTATTTTTTTCATACTGAGGGCTTTTTCAAGTTCAATAATACGTTTACTAATAGAATAAGCAAGTAACAGCATAGACGTGATATTAAAGATACAAGCTCAACCTAGCAAGAATGATGTCGTTTTACCCTAGCAATACTTACAGCAATTTGATCACCTTGGGCATTTTTAGCCAAGCACCAAACAGGACCTGAGTTTGAGGAAACTGGTTCCTAAAGAAAATAGAAAACAATATATTTTTAGCCAAGCATTACATTTTCCTTAATAACAAAAATATTTTATGAGTAAGAAATAAATCAAGCTTTCAAATGCACTAATTTTAAGGAAAATAACATATTTTTTCTTGTATATAATAGGTAAATTAAAGATTTGGTTACTCTAGAAATTGTTTCAATACACTACCAGAAAAAGAAACATTTTAGAATAGATTACCATTAAATAAAATAACTAAACAGAAGCGTTTATTCACCTTAGCTAACTGTGTGACCAAATCAAGCTCTACAATGTTGCCACTTATACCACCAGCAAACAAGCGACCTTTGCACCACAGCAAAGCTTCGACTGAGGCATCTCTGTCTCCAGGAAACACCTAAAGAATGTAAACAAAATAAATATTATTTGTATTTCTCAATAATCTTAATGATAGTTTATAGATTTGGCATGCACAAGTAGTTTAGATTATTATGATAAAGATACTATTTAAAATTTAATTTATTTCTTCTTTTTCTGTTAGTTTAAATAAAGATTTTCTGTTGGTTTAAATAAAGACATGCCTTGCTGATAATAAAAGATGTAATGTACACTCAAAGTTAGCCGGGGTCAGGTTAATTGTGTGAAACTGACATTGGCTGTTTCCAGTTTCACATTGCTATAAATGAATTAATATTGGCTATTGATTTCTCAAACATTGGGAATAGATTGCTAAATGGTGTAAATATAAAAACATATCAAACTAGACTAAATAAGATTTTTATATAATACATTTAACTCTTAGCAGGGTTTGGAATTTTTTAAAACACTTTTAAAATTGTTAATCTATAACTACCACTTTTAATAATTTTCCATCTATACTTACCATTTCAAGACTCCAATTATCATTTGTACTTATTATTTCAACTGAAGCATCAGACCTAAAGAAAAAATAATCAAAGTAACAATTTACACAAGTAGATCATTGTACACTGCCACACTATCTAAGTATTTATGAAGGAAACCTCCCACAAATCCAGAAAACTTCTTACCTAGATATGGCTAACCTATGTGAGATTTCATCGTGAGCAATGCAATTGATTGTCTGTGGCTGGTACTCAAAAAAGCGAATGTGGTGGACTTGAAACTTAACTTGCTCACTGTCTGCCATTGTTTCCTTGCGTTTGCTTTCTCTTACTGTTTCATACAATGTGACCTTACATAATCTTTATTGCTCTAAGTAATGAAAAGTTAACATAAGAAATTAGTTTTAACATTTTATATAATTTTTATTGCTTTAAACAATGAAAAGTTAACACAAGAAATTGGTTTGAACACTTTAAGTTGGTTTAAGTTTAAGTGCATTCAGAAGCATTTAAATTTAGAATACTAGCAATTTTTTTCTACATTTTAGGAGGTTTGACAAAGTAAATAAGGGAGTCGAAAAATGCAAACAATATAACAAAATAGTAATGAGATTCAGTTTTCATTCATGCTAGTGAAGAACCTCCTCCACCACTTGTATGCCTATGGTGGTGGTGTTCAACTAAAGACAGAAGCTTGGCATTTGTTATATCTTATGTTCTTTTTATTACAATGTTTTTTCTTGTAGACTATTTACATTATTAATATTGAATCAACTAATTTTAGAGCAGTCACTCTTTAGTTTGCTAAGACACTGAAACAAGTAATACTCCACTTCACCGGCTAATGAACTGGAAGGTTCGAATTTTTATTTTTACTTTTACACTTTAGTATGCATTATTATTTTAAAAATAATTTAAAGAACCAAACAGTTTTTTTTATAGTTTGCTTAGTTCGAACAGATATGTTAAAAACAATTATCGTAACAAGTTGGCAGCCTAAAAATATAATTTTTAATTAAGAGATTTTTTGTTTTAAAATTCTCCATAGATTTCTCAGGTAGGCCTTATATATTTTTAACTGAGCATTGAAGTGGGGGATCAGTAGACTTAAAATTAAGCTGGCTATTCACTTGTTGTGAAGTCAAAACAGAAAACAATTCTATATTCAAGTAAAAAACAAAGAAGTTGCAATTTTTTTGGAAGAGCATTCCTTTCTCTGTTGTCAAGCACTTGTTCAAATCAGATTCTTCTAAGCTAGTAGTGTTTTATTCATCCCTATTGGCCCCAGCAATAATATTCTTGAATGGTTTGTTAATATTTATTAAAGATTGTGTGTGGTGTTATTAAAAAATGCTATTGTGTGATTTTTGTCAGATTTTACTAAAGATTGAATGTTCCTGGTGTTTTTAGTATTTTATGTAACAAAACAAAATGGTAACAAAGCCTAAAACAAATGGGTTTTTTTCATTTTTGGGGGTATGGCACATCAAATTTTAATTTTACATTTTGTGTTGTTTGACAATATTTGTACACAATTATCAGGCTACACTTTTTAAGTTGACAGACGGTAAGTAAAAAAGTATTCTAAATTACAAAAACTGCAATCTAAATAATTCATGCTTTAAGTTTAAAATTTTTTAATAAAAACAACTATCAATGGGGAAAGTGTAATGCATTCTATTTTAAGTATGACACAAAAATAATCATACATCTAGCTAAATGATTCAATTTTGACAATGCACACATTTTCCCACGTTTCAGTTTCACTTTTTTCAGTAGGGCCTATTAAGTTGAAGATTAGGCCTATTATAAAATTGTAGTCGCCCTAGATTCTACATTCAGGGCCCTATCGACTCATATTGAGGGTGATATTTTTGTCCACAGTGAATGGAAGGCCTTTCGACAAACATGCTGTGTACTTTTAGAAAAACATTAGTACGATTTTTTAATTCTGAGAGTTAAACATATCAAACAATAGGGGTCATCCATAAGTGACATCACGCTTTTTTTGACGATTTTTACCTCCCCTTCTAACATTGCTTTTTTTAAAATGTTAAAGTGTGATGTCACACCATCTGAACACCCCTCACATCACACATCGTAACAAAATTACGGACCCCTCCTCCCCCCTAAGAGCGTGACGTCATTTATGATTTAATTTATGGTCGACCCCAAAGGCTACTCAATTTCAACAATGACTGGAACAACACTGACACGTATAAACAACACACCACTATCACAGTACATATTCTGTGATGCATGACTGAAATTACTCCTGATTCAGGTTTGTGAAACTTTGGTTTAAAAAAAGCTGTCAACTCAAGTCAACCAGCTTTTCTGTTTTCACTGAGTGACAGTGTCAGTGAGTTGTGATGTGAATACTATTCTAGATTCTATGCTTTCATATTCTAAACTCACCATCAGATAGATTTACGAAGTTTTGGTAATATAAAATATTTAAAGAAAGAAATCTTGAGACAATATATTAACTTAGTCACACTATTTCAAGCACAGTAGCCTTCGCTAACTGCAGGCATACATGTTGTTACAACTATGGAGGTCGCCATTTTGTTTTAATATTCTAGAAACGAAGTTAAAATTGTCTGTACCTGGATTGGTCTAAATTCTTCATTCAAAGCCAAGGCTCGGCTAATACCGAAAGAACAAAAAATTTCGCGCGAAAAAAAAACGATAGATCAGTCCTTGATCTAGAGATCTATCTAGATTCTAGATTCATAACATCTCAGATTCTCAGATATTTAGCATTGTCTGAAGAACTGATTCTAGCCAGGAGTAGATCTGGCATTGAACTAACTATGCCGAAACAATATTAATTTAACCTAGGCTATTTATTTGAACTTAGTTACTAGATCTAGATCTAGATCTAGTCTGATTTAGTCTCAGTGAGTGAGATCTTTAGAATAGAATCTAATCTAGACTCTAGATCTAGACTCTAGAGTCTAGTTATTTTTTAACGTGATATAGATTTAATATAAAAAATATAAAATATAATGTATTTATTATAGAAAGAAAATAACTAAAATAAGAAATTAGAAAATGGTTCGAGTTGCTGTGCAAATGTAAGTCATTTTATTAGGGGAATCACTGTAATAAGTAATAGATCTAGAATCTAGTAGATCTATTGAATTCTATTCTATAACTAATTTAGTAATTAACTATTAAATTAGCTAAAAAAATAACTAGGCCTACACTACAGAGTATAACTTTAGGCCTACTAACCGGAACTTCTGGGCATCTGATTATTGATTATGTCCCACAGAGCTCTTAATTAACTTTACACTTCCAGAAAATAACCTTTAAATTTTTTTTAATATCTGTTTTTTTTTTAGACAAAGTGATGATGGAAGTTGCAAGGAATGGGCAATCGTAGAACTTCAAGGAGATCTTGAGACAAGACACCCTGTACCGTTGAGTGGAAAATTTATTGGAGATTTACACTTTACACTTAAGGTTTTACTTTTGACTTCACATAAAAGTTTTTAAACAGTATTTTCTATAGCAAGACGAGTCTGTAATGTGTCTTATATATCTTATCTCTATGTGATGTGTCTTATATATCTTAGCTCTAATGGGTACACAATGTAAATCTGGGAAAAGTCAATATATCAGTTTATATCTGAGTGTTGTTTTTACTTCACATTACCTTATCAAAACCTCTTATGGTTAAAATGTTTGTCTTCTTGTTTAGGCCTACATATAAATCACTCAACTTAAATTTAGTTTTAATATGAAGGCCTTGTATTTTGTTTAAAAATATATTAAACAATTTTTAACACTTACCCCTTTTTTGTCTGCTTGAAGGATTCGCCAGTGCTAATAATTGGTCACCACATTCTCCATGGTAAAGTGTTGAATCTTGAGAAGCCTCTGGCAGTGTTAGTGAAGACGACAGAAAGCAGTGGGGACGCTGCCATGGAAACAGACGATGCAGCTGAATCGAGGAAAACTTGTTATGATGTCAAGGCAATCATTAAAAAAAAGATTCTTTTCAAAACAAGACCCAAACCTATAATTGCTCATGTGCCAAAAAAACTGTAGTTTTTTTAATTTATACTTTGGAAGGGGGGCATTTTCATAATGTATGAATGATTTGAATGTGCCCTGTAAGTGTTTTGGATACCTCTTGTCAAATTTGTTAATTTAATTTTATCGATGCAATCTCAATATCATTAGTGATTCTCAATTAAAAAAATAAAAATGTGTGGAAACTTATCTTTTACTACTACTGTATTTTTTTTTTACATTAAAAAAATATAACACACTGCTTATCTTAGCTACTTGCAAAAATCAATTACATTGTACATTACAATGGCTACCTTATGGGTAGATGTGGTAGGACAATAGAGCACATGACTGCTCACTCAATTGTCTCAAGTTTATCACCAGGGCTGGAGTCCATAATACACCAAGATCTGTTGGGTACCTGGCTCGTATTGGTGTATGGGCACAGAATTAAACACACTAATCCCTTCACATGTTAATAAGGATGATTTCCATCTGCCCTATTACCACCAGGGCAGAAAGGTCACTTAGTTTTTTTACAATGAACAGGACTTTTCTTTGTATGTCCAAGCAAACACTTTCTCCTGACTTCTCAGTACAAAAAGTTTTACATTATATGATTAGCAAAATAAAATTCAGTGCCAAAGGGATTTCCATCCATGGTAGGTTATTGGGAGGCTGAACAATTAGGTGCTTAAATATCCTAATCCTGCAACATAAATATATGTATACACAGGTAGTGGCACAATAAGAATAAATCTTAATAACGTAGAACAGAAAGAGGGTCATAATGTTTTTAGACAATAATAAAGGGAAGCAAGTTCTTTTCGTTTAAATAGTAAAGCATGAATTAACTGTAAAAAATATTTTTATTAAAGACGATAAGTAAATGTGCAGGGATGCAAAATCAGTAACAAAATAAAAAGTTTATGTATTTTCAGCAGTATATTATAAACTTTAAACAACAACTTTTCTATTAATTTTTATTTTAGTTTTGGTGCCGCATGAAAATAGGGGAAGCTACTAAAATTTTACACTTGCAAGGGAGGTAATGTAATAATACAATATTTGCTGCTTTTTATTAAATAATCTATATTATTTTCAAAATAATACCTATATAAAATATTGAGATAAAAATTAAATTTTATTAATTTATATAAAAGAATTAAAATTAAGATTGTAAAAATTAGATATTTATAAATTGAAGCCAAAATGTATAATATGAAAACCATTATTTTCTCTATAGCGTCTTTCTATCTGGCTGACAATTCTAATGTGACTGTTTAGCATATATTAAGTTTAACAAACATATTCTTTTTTGACACCCTCTTTGTAGGGTACCTATTATGAAACATAGTGGAAATGGAATTTTGTGGAAATGTAGCTATTTATAATTCAAACCCCTTTTGATGGTAGTCGGTGATTTTTTTAGCTCGAGCTTTTTACTCAGCTGAATTAACACCAACAAAAGTCACTAGACCCAACTCTACTTTCTTGCGAATTCCAACTGAAATTGTTTTATTTAGGCTGCTTACTGTTTTTAGAGACTTTTTAATGCAAATTACATTGGCATAAAACTGATTGGTTTCCATTTCAGATATTTTTTACAAGCATATTTTGATGCAAATGACGGTTGGTTAATTTGAATACCTTTGAAACTATAGGCCTACTTAATTAGTGACATGAATGTCTAGAACAGTGTTTCTTCCAGACTTTTTTCTCCGGGGGGGGGGGGGGGGCATTGAAATTTTCGGGGGGGGGGGGGGGGCGGACACTGTTAGTATATATTTTCTATATAAATTATATAAATTTCATTTCGTTCGGGGGGGGGGGGGGCGGTAAAAAATTTTCGGGGGGGGGGGATGCCTGGAAGAAACTCTGGTCTAGAAAGTTTGGGTAAAGCATCAATAAAATATAACATAATGCAGGCTACATGTTGACAGGAACTAAGATTTACTTTAACAGCTAATGCAGTGGTTCCCAAAGTGGGCAATGGAAGGGTTGTAGAGGGGGAGGTTAGAAACTTGAGGTGCATACATCATCCACCCCCCCCCCTCCCACACCACCTATTTTTTATTCTCCACCCCCACAATGCATCATATTGCATATTGCCCCACCCTCCCTCATGACAATTCTACTGACCCCCAAGGTATTTCAACCTTTGGTCAAGATCTGACTAAACTTGTATTAGTTCATGTTTTAACCAAGGGTTGTATTGCTGAGAGTAAAACACATCCACGGCTTCTTTCAGAGCACTTTTTAATTGTTATATTTTCTACTTTTCAGTAATTCACAATTTTTTTATTCAAAATACCCACCCCCCCCCCCCCCCCCCTCCACGAAAGCAGCCATCCATGACGACAGTTTACAGACGACAATGAAAATATCAAGGAGAAATCGTTTCCTCCCCATAGTTTCAAATCATTTAAATACTAAATTATCCGCCCCTAATAACCGTCACCAATCCGACCCGGCTCTTCTATTGTAAACATTCGTCGTGAACCATAGCTCACCAGACAGGTCGGGGTGCTGGTGGTAGCGATATGCCTAGAAAGGGGGCAAATAATGGCGTGCGTTTACGTGGTGTCTCGCATGGTCCCCATGAAGAGAATTATATATATAGATAGAAGATATATATATTTTGATTATAATTTATATATTTTGTTCCAAGACCAGCTGAAAGATACTCTGTACACATTTTGCATCACTTGTCCTTATGTTTATGGTGGATGAACATAAGCCATGATTTCTATGTGTATGTTCTTATCTGTTCTATATTAGTAAACAACTTTCTTTAGCATCTTGAGAGGCCAGATGTGACATCCCAACTACAAACCTCGATTACACACAGGACAGAAGATGTTTTCTTAAACACAAACAAGTATATTGTATTTGTAAAAAAAAGCAAAGTCCACACTCTCTACAGATGGTGTGAAAATAAACTTTAATTTATATTTTACACAATATAATAAAGTATAAAGTAAATATTTGTAGCATAATATTTAAAAAATGTAGTAAAGAAGTAAAGTTATTGTAAAGTTGAGGTAAAAAATATAAATGCTTTTGAGTGAGCTAAATTGCAACTTACTGGCTCCGATAATTGAATACATATGAATGTTATATTTTTTATTATACATGAAAGTGTAATTATACCTGTAGGTGTAATTATACATGAAAGTGTAATTATACATGAAAGTACATTTAGAAATACTGAAAAGGCTGCCTAACAATAAAAACAATCATTTAACAATCCAATTCAGTAGTTTTTCTGTAATCTTGAAGCATCAATGTTGATTTGCATTTTTAAAAGTTTAAAAATTGTTTATTTTTCAACAGACAGAATTTTTTTTTAACCAAGATTTTTACAAAACAATTTTAGTATTTAAAAGTATCGTGGTTGGAAAAATATTTCTATTTAAGTCTATAATAGTTGGTAAGCATTTAATAGAATTATTTATTTGATTTCAATTTAAACTGTTTATATTTATGTCTTATTGTTTCTTGTTCAAGCCAATGATTATATACTTTACTATGTCTTAACCATCCCAATTATTTTGGCTTTAGTCAGAATGAGTAATATCAGCAGTCAAACGTTGGCATATAACCAAAATTAGGAATTAAAGACAATGTTTGGGCTCTGTGGACCATAAATAAAGGGAGTTAATACATTTTTAATGACTGAGATTTGTCAAAAAAAAGTCCCGCTCCATCTCTAATGCCCAAACAATAAAAATTCTATCACATTGAAACAAATTATTTTTCACAACTACTCATCCAAATCAAAATCATAGTCAGGGTTGCCAGCAATATAAGAATGGAGGAAATGCAAGTGTGTCTTCACATCAAATGAAGTAGCCTTCACCGCTGGAACTTGGCACATGGCATCAAACCAAGCAGCTAAGTGTGGGAAGTTTTCTCTACTGATGCTGATTCTTGGGTCTGCTGTTTCCATGACAGGTATTTTCTCCAAATGTGGCCATAAGTAAAAGTCTGTCATAGATGGCGCCAGACCTGAAACATTTAAAAACGAATAAATTTAGGTTTGTTATGAAGAACATTATAGCCTTAAATACTGAAATGGATTATATAAACAATATTTCTAAAATTATATTTGAACTAGCTGATACATCAAATTCAACTCAGATTTTTTTCTAATGAACATTATAAATTTCAAAAATAGAAAAGTAATAAAAAATGTATTATTATAATTATATATAGCAACCTATACAAGCTGGTTCAACTAGTTTCAACAAACTTTTCCTAAATTACTTTAACTTTACTTGGGAATTTTTAAACCTCAAAGGCCGACCGAAGGGTTACCTCCGAACAAGGGTCCAGTCCTTTTACTTAGGTTGTCATCATAAAATTTATAGTGCTTGTGAAACTCTTCAATAAGTTTCTCGCGATTGTCTGGAGTTCTCCAAAATGTATAGATGCCTGGAGTAAGCTGAAATACAAATCTGGGATTAAACTTGGGCAAGCAAGAAACAAAACAACTCTATAATATATAAAATTTATAATTAATATATAAAATTAAATGTAAAAAAAAATCTTTAAGAAGTGTACTGAAATATATTGACATGACAAGCTGTCAAAAAAATACAAGATGATACCTTTCCAAAATACTCCAGCAGTATCCTGTCCCAAGCCTTTGTATAAGGATCACTTGGCTGAAGTCTATGCTGTGGGTAAATGTCATCAAGCCACTCACACGTGGCTGTGGATTCATAAACTATCTTGTCATCTAGTTCGACAATTGGCACCAGACCAAGGGGGTTTTTATCAAACAGCCATTCAGGTTTGTATTTTAAATCAACATTAATTGTTTCAAACCTGGGAAGAAAATATGAAAAAAAAAAGAAAATAAATTATAATAAGAACAGTAGTAACTAATTTAAAGTAAATATTGATTTTAGCTAGGTATTACCATAACTCAAACTCAGGGGTCTCCAAACTTTTCAGTCCGAGGGCCGCATTAACTATAAAATTTCAGTTCGGGGGCCAGTTTCTTTCAGTCCTGTCTTTGTTATTTCTGGGCAAAGTTCCTCAGCCATCACCAACAAACGATTTTTCCTTGGACAAAAAGATCTCAGCGGGACGGATGAAAGGACTTCGCGGGCCGCATCCGGCCCGCGGGCCGTAGTTTGGAGACCCCTGCTCTAACTCATAACTCAAAAAGTAATGCAAACAAAAAAATCAATGAAGATGATAGTGTATTGTTCTACTAATAAACATAATAGAAGAATAATATACAGTTAAATATGCAGTTGACTGCAAAATAGTCAGTAGGCTTCTACTGATTCATTTACTACTCACTGAATGTTTTTATAAAGAAGCACAAGTCTTGTTCTATGTGCAAATGGACAAAATCTCATGCTGTACAATCTGAGAACCCCTGGCTGTAGTGGTGGATACGCTGAACCTTAAGATAAAGTATGGTTTAAATAGATATATGCAAGTAACCTACATGATAGCTACTAAACATGGTTAACAATTTAATGAAAAGCATAAACAAAGTTCAAATCCAGTTATCTCTATAATGTTATCTAATGTTGTACACATAGATTCTAGTACACTTAGACTTAGGGGTCTACAACAGAGCTCTGAGATGGTAGATGTCTGTAAAACTATAATTTTAAAAGAAAGAGTAAAATAAATAAGCTGCTTTAAAAGCATTTTATAGTATTTGGTCTTTATTTTATAAGCTTTTACAATTTAAATTAAATTTAAAATTAATGTGAAAAGAATAGGCCTAGACTTAGACACCTAAATATAATATAAAATGCATTAAAAAAAACAAGTACCCAGTACCAGCAGCTAGTTGTAGAGTCGTAGACTGTCCAATGGGCTGTGTGTAATTTATATTTAATTTTATTACATAGATCTATTATGAATTTGTAGCACTGGCTACCTTTTGCAAATACTTTTTGGGTCATCTTTTACAATTTTTCGATCAAAATTCTTTTTTAACCTTTTGAAGAGCTGTGGAAAGAAAGTAAAATATTAGTAATATTAATTTAATATTATAAAGTAGGATAGATTTAGTATTAGTAATAGTAGGCCTAACATGAAACAATTACTGTTATGTAATAATTCTGTATTACTTAGGTAGAATAGGTTGCTCATTGTTAAGATAGAAATAGAAGTATATTGCAATATATTTGTGTCAAATATTATTATAGATAACTGAATAATAAACCAAAATCAATGGCTAAATATATCAATATAGGCCAGAAATTAACTTTAAACAGCAGTGTTTGCGAGCAAGATTTGTTATATAAACAGCGGCCATCTGTAAGTTAGAGTGGTTTCCCTTGAATCTCTAACTACAATTTTAACAAAAAAAAACAAACTTAAACACAGCATGGCTGCTTAAGTAAATGAGCTTGGTTGCATCTGATGAAAACATCACTAGTCTTCATTTTTTACTGAAAAGTTGCAATACAGTTGTTTAAAACAGGGGATGATTATAGATACTGTTGTCCGATAATAGACTCTTCCATTAAATAGGTGTAGTGTTGGGTTGTTACTTTGTTAGTAGTATTGTAATCACCACTAATTTTATGATTAAAAATTACTAAATTAGGGTTAGGCGTATGTTCGTATGGTCTGGTAGGACTAGATTTGGGGTTAGCCGTTAGGGACAGGGTTAGCATTGACATGAGCCAGTTAAGTGTGTATATTTACTATAGTTAACTACCAGTAACCTAACAACCCCTTTTTAAAGAACATTCTAGATTTCTAGATCTATTATCGGACACTGGTATACAAATTCCCCCAAAACAGGTACATTAATGAATTAAAACTTGAAACATTTTTCATTTTTGGGTAATCTATCGTTTTAGGTACGTTTTTGTTTCAAAACAAAAATTGAAAAATTCTCTTTAGTAGTCTTTAGTTGTTAATTGTTAAAATGTGAAAAAGTTATAAAAATTTAATGAGTCACCTTTTTTCACACTAATACTAATAGTATTAGATCTAGAAAGATCTGATTTACTGTTTACTATTTAGAATCTAGGCGTAAATCTAGTCAGCTGTTTACGGCCTACTAGATTATCTACACTACAACACTGCTGCAGAATCTTCGTCTAGTTTTTTGTTTACTATTTAGAATCTATTATTAGAATGAAGAGTGCAGTAAAAAAACAACTTTTCATTAAAAAGATCTACTGAAGGGATGTTAACGGACTGAGACAACTGATTGAAAAGTCTAATTTTTTACAATATTGGCTCTAATTTATTTTTTCAGACAGAAAAGCATCTATCGCACTTAAAATATGTACTTTCTTATACTGCAGTAAAATCTGAGAAATGGGTACCATTTTACTATTCTTTCTTATTCTTCTTCGTTCTTAATTTTAGTGTTGGAAGGGATCCCCTCCAACAACACAGTGGAGTATACTATACGTGTCAACTGGTTATGCTCCATTGATGTCACTGACTCCGATTTCAGCCTGCTTTTTTTAGCGCAATTTCCATTCTGGAGAATTGCGTTTATTAACTCGTCATTTCTGGGAATGGATGGATGAATGTATGGATGTGTGTCCGGGCTTTAAGTCGTATCTCCTCCTCAACGAAGCAATATCGATGACTAGTTACAAAAGCAATTATGTTAAGCACGTTACGAGGATGAGCATAGGCCATAAAAATTCCGGGTTTCTTTCATGTATTACCCGGAAAAGCCAAAAAAACTCGAAAAAATGCAGTTTTTGGCCCATATCTCGGCAACCAGACCACTTAGCGACTTGAAACATGTACCAATCGATTCCTGCCATAATTTAGAACAATATTGCCGAAGAAAGTTTTCAAAAATATCCTCTCGTTCGGTCACAAATTTTAAAATTACATAAACACCTACAAACCGATCGTTCTTCTAGCTTGAACGCAACCCAGCATTATACGTCAGAGCTATTTTTAGATAACATAAGGAAATTGCGCATAAATGTCACTAGACTTTTTTAATTAACTTGTTTTTGGATTTGCTTCCATAGCCCTTGTCCAATCAAGAACAAACTACAAGTCAGCAGTTGTTTGATTTTGGAGTTGTCTCTCCTAGAAGAGTGGCTAACGAGCCTCATCTGCCTGAAGGTTCGAACTAAAGACTTTTCGGTTTGGCAACCATGAGCTTTTTATTAAATTATTTATGTTATTAATTATTTACATTATTTACATTTCATGGTTGTGATATTTTTAAGTAGGTTGGGGGGGGGGGGGTGAAGAGGAAGAGGATATCATCAGTGTTTCTTCCAGACTTGCGGGTTAGCAGTCTTGTGTTCTGCTGCTCGGCCACACAGTAACAACGTCAAACAAGACATCACTTGATTTTGCGCCTAACACAAGTCAGATGAATAGTCAAGATGAATATTTATTTTGGCTGGCTAGATCTAGATTAGAGTTGTACAAATAGTCAAGATAAATGTTTATTTTGACCAGCTAGAGTAGATCTAAGTATATCATCATGCTACACTTGACAGGTAACATTTAACTAATTTAACATCACCCAGAAATAGAGCAGACAAAAACAATATTGACCTCAATCTTTCTTGTTATCTACCAAACTACGGCCCAGTTTAGTAAAGAATTCAACTATTCGGACCTTGATTTGTTTACGATATCGGTGATAAGAGCTGTTTTAGTAGCATGTTGCACCACCACCCGTAACACACGGGCGAACATATAAAAATGGTATCCTGGCTTTAGATGTTCAGTAGAAAGAACAACTTACAGAGTGTACGATGGTGTTTAAAGTTTGTAAAGGGGGAGTCAGGTCTGGCAATACCCTTCGTGGTCTGCATTCGTTTCAAGCAAAAAGGTGAGGAAATGTTTGTTTACTGACGTGCGTTTGAGTGTTTGTTCTGCTTTAGTTATATAGACACATGGGACATACGGTTTCAATGACAATTGACCGTGGCGTACAAGGGAATGATATGACCAGCACTATGTCCAGCCGCCTTTACTTTTCCTAACGAGTAAACTACCCACCGAGCTGGGTGGACTCGGATGTTCTACTGACTTGAACCCGGATTCGAACTCGAACATTTTCCGTTTAGCAGACTAGCGCCATACCGCTAGGCAACACCGTCCCATATATTGACGATACCGGGCATATATTATAAGATGATCCGCGATTCCTGAGATACTTTTCCTGGGTTTAGAAAATCGTATTATACGCCAGAAAACCCGATACATGATTGTATAACTTGATAGTATAAAATGCAACATTTGGTACAAATACGTCTATAACCGTTTCAATTTAACATTTTAGCGTATATGTTGGTTTGGTATCTGTGTGAAGTTGATGATGTTAATTAAGGGAACGTCCATAAATGACGTGACACTCGTAGGGGGAGGGGGGTCCGTAATTTTGTGACGGTGCGTGATGAGGGGGAGGGGTGGGGGGTTTCAGATGGTGTGACGTCACACTTTTGATTATAAAAAAGCAATGTTAGAAAGCGATTGTTAGCCGTTATCTCGCGTTTTAGTAAAATGTTTTAATAACTTGTTATAGGAATTGTTTAAAATACTCTATGTTGACAAGAATTTGGAAAAATATCGATGTTTTAAGAAATATTCAACTGCCATTTTGAGGGGGTTTGTAGCTGAGGTGTGATGTCATTTTAGGGGGGGGGGGGACTGGCTTTTTGTGACGATGTGTGACGGAGGGGAAGAGGTTAAATTCGTCAAAAAAAGCGTGACGTCATTTATGGATGACCCCTGTAACCGTTTCAATTTAACATTTTAGTGTATGTGTTGGTTTAGTTTCTCGGTGAAGTAGATGATGTTAATTAAGGGGACGTCCATAAATGACGTCACACTCGTAGGGGGAGGGGGTCCGTAATTTTGTGACGGTGCGTGATGAGGGGGAGGGGGGTGGGTTCAGATGGTTTGACGTCACACTTTTGAATTATAAAAAAGCAATGTTAGAAAACGAGTTTTAGCCGTTTTAATAAACTGTTTTAATAAATTTTAATAGGAATTGTTTAAAATACTCTATGTTGACAGAGTTCAGGGAAGATTTTGGAAAAATATCGAATTTAAAAAAAAAATTCAACTGCAAATTTTGAGGGGGTTTGTAGGCTGAGGTGTGACGTCACATTTTGTGACGATGTGTGACGGAAGGGAGGAGGGGGAGGTAAAAATCGTCAAAAAAAAAGCTTGACATCATTTATGGATGACCCCCTGACGTGATACGTGTTCCATATTTCCTACAGGTATGCCAGACAAGCATGTATCGTCAGCCATTCCAACCTGTCCAGCAGGCGCGTGCAGCGAATCATTGAGACCAACACGGACAACGAGCAGATCGCCGAGGCACTGAGGTCAACCGAGGTCATCTTATCCTTGAACAAGAAACAAAGATGGCGGATCCCGGCCACCGTCAGTCACATGATTCGGTCAGGTGACTTCAACGAGGAGAGAACGAAGATCTCGATGCTGGAGCGTCATAAGTTGAAGCGGAAAGCGAACTGCCTGCGGTATATCTGTAACAGAGGTCGTCTAGGATTCGTGGCTCCAAAGCAGAAGAGCTACTTCAATCTGAATTTGGAGAACTTCGATGACGAAATATCCAACCGAATGTTCCGACGAGAAAAGGCTGAGTACTACAAAACGATGAAAACGGCCAACCCTTTGAAAGAGAAGAATGTTGATAAAAGTGTAGAAGTTATTGAAGTACTTACAATCTCCGGGAATAAAGATATCGTGAAGCCGCCTAAGAAAAAACAATCCGAGCTTTGTCTCGAGGTGTTTTATCCCTGCCCTAAAAGCTGCTCCTTGACCTTTAACCCTAAATACACGGACGTTTCCATGGAGATGAACGAAGAAGGGAAGATGGAAATACGGTCGAATAAAAAAGTTGGTAAAAAGAAAGGAAAACGAAGGCAGGTTTTGTGGTATAACTACAATGAAGCGTTTAGAGATGAAATATTTGACCATGAAAATTTCGTTGAAGATGACGATGAAGACGATGTAAGCTATCGAATTTTGAAAAATAAGAAAAACAAAAATTTGGATGAATCTGATATAGAATTAGATAATAGTTTAGATCCCTCACTAGAGGAGTCCGGAGAAAATAAACACAGTAATATTTTTGCTGATTATGTTTTGAAGGCTGAAAGCGCTGTAAAAGAACAAAGACTTGATAAACAGAAACTTAGAAAGCGAAGCTTTAAAACCCCTCGCAATAGAAGAAATGTTGATGAAAATATTTTGTCTCAAACAGATGATAATGTTCGTATTGATGAACCGAAGACTATTCCGTTTCTTGAAAAGACGAGTAATGTTTCGAAAATACATGATTCGTCTTTGCCTTACGCGAAAGTCATTCTGTTGGATGCTGAAACATCCCCTGTAGCTCTTCAAGAGGAGTTTGGTGAACTGTACTCAGAAGCCAATTGCTCCCCTAGAAGGTTTTTAATCAACATCACGCATGACGTTGTAGATAAGCTAAGTTTCTTCCGTGTTTCAAAACAAATGTCCTTTTACACTTCGTATCTTGTTTTCATTATGGACGAAGTATTTGATTCGGAGAAAAGAGTATTTAAAGTTTTACTCAGCTCAAATTTTGTCAGTGCTGCAGTAGAAATCTCAGATTTCGTTTCTTTTCAGCAAAGTACACTGAAAGACGTCGTTGATTCTGTGGTGAAATCATTATTAGAAAAGAAAAATGCGAATTCCGCATTGTTTTATAAGATGCCTCCTCCAGATAAAATAAAAGAGATTCCAGATTTAGTGTCCCGACAGTTGAAATTGGAAGTCGAGGTTTTTCACTGCACGGAAATCTGTAACGAACCTGGTTTTCTGCAAGAAAAAATGTCGGCCAAAAAGTCTTTACTACCAGCAGGTGTGATACACCCAAAGACGGCGGAGACTTGTGGTATATGCTACAGTGAACTGGGATGGAGCCAGGAAACAGAAGTGTCTAGCACGAGACTTCATGCCTGCGCTCATGTATTCTGCGACCCTTGCTGGCGGTCGTATATCAAACTTCAGCTCGCTAAAGGAAGTTCCAGAATAACATGTCCAACGTATCTGTGTAGCACTGAAGTAGGTCCCGTAACTCTTCTGTCATTACTTCCATTTAAAGACGTTCTAAACATTCTGCAGCGAAGTTTTAAAAGCGAGATATATGGCGATTCTAACCTCAAGTTGTGTCCAAATCCTGATTGTGACCGGGTTATCAAAGTAAAAGTGAACCCAGAATTGAACAACCTGCCGTGTGATGTTACCTGTACCTGCGGGGTATCCTCCTGTTTCTCATGTCTAGCCCCCGCCCACTGGCCAGCGAAATGCAAACAAGCCCAAATTTACATCAACAAACTCAAAACAACGCTTGAAACACCAAAGCAAGACAACTCTGGTAGAAAACTCAAACAGATCCCGCCCCCTAAACCAGGGGCGGCGTTTAAAGTAGAAGTAAACGCCTGTCCTAGGTGTCACATCTACTTCACACAACTCAAAACACTTTGTTACCTCACGTGTCTCTGTGGTCATTCATTTTGCGGGTTCTGCCTGACCTCACAGCAAAACCACACTATGGGTTGTCAAATCAACCAAGAATACATCAACAGTTTAACCAAAGTCTTCACGATACGTCACATTGAAGGCCCCAAGCTTCCTCTCACGCAAACCCCCGAGAAGTCGGAGCTGGAGATTGTTCAGGAGAATACTTCTGAAAACTCAAACCTGCTCCGTAGGGCTGCTGAAGAAAGGGGCGCCAGCCGGGGTTTTGATTACACGCAAGATATAGCAGAACTGGCTACACTAGTCACAAATAAAGCTGTAAAAGATGCAAGTTTTATGGAAGAGGTAAATCCTTTAAAACGTTTTTATATTATGGTTTTATGTTTTAAGCTTTATATATATATATATATATATATATATATATATATATATATATATATATATATATATATATATATATATATATATATATATATATATATATATATATATATATATATACCGTACAGTATCGAGATTTGCATCTAGAGCTTTATTTGTCTTCGCGTTTCAACCTTGAAATGATATCAGCATTAAGAAGTTAAAATTCGAGTTTTTAAATATTTAAATGAACTTCTATTTTTTTTTCTGCAGTAGCGGAATTTAGGTTTGTTCAATTAAACCGAAATATTTCTGCAATAAAAATTATTATGGAAGCATTAAGGCATTAAAAATATCACTACATTATATCGGCCATGAAAAAATAGTCAAATATTTCTCCAAAAAGAAAAATATTATCGATAAAATTAGTTTAAAAGAAAGTCCGTAAAGAAAGAAAGAAATGTTTTTAAATATTTTACCACCTTACAACATTATATAATCTTTTGACTGATGACCACACCTCTATTACTATTTAAGTCTTATTTTTGTTTTGTTTTACTTTATAAAAGGTGACCAAAATATCTGGATACAGCCCAGCCCTGGAGCAGACACACCCACACCAAGTCCTACATCACGTGACACAGTTTCTCCACTACCTCTATGACGTCAAGCAGACGCTGCATCACGTGGCCGAGTTCACCTTTGTTCTGGCCAAGGACGCCCCTGGCACGCCCGAGCGTCAGAGGGTACTCACCCTGGCAAACGACATCAGCGGCTACGGCAGCTTCATCCACTCGGTGCTGTCCTTGGGGGACAGGCAGGACCCCCGGGTTGCCGTCCGGCGGTTGTCTGACATCCTGGCTTGGTCCCGGCGAGCTGTGTCGGCTCTGTCTGTGGCCGCGGAGAAACTGAGACAGTGAAAAAACTATGTTTTGAGAGCTCTACTAAAAGAAAGGCGATGTTTTTTAATTTACAAATCTTTTAAAAGAGGAGCAATATTTTGTTAAGTTATATATCTGCTAAAAGAAAGATGATGTTAAAGTTTAAGACAGTATTTTATTCAGTAAAGCCTCATCTTTTAGAAAAATAAAGCGGGAGTGATCTCCCCTAAACTTTCTCGAATATTCTTATATGAAACAATAGGGGATGGCAACTCGGGATATAGATACACCAGTGGCGTAGCGAGGTCGGGTGTCACCCGGTGCGGCACTTAATGGTGTCACCCCCCCCCCCCCCCCAGAGGCATAGAGACCCTTCCCAGGGACAAACTTTCAAATTTTACGATTTGCACCCCCCCCTCAAACTTTCGATTTGCACACCCCCCCTCAAACTTTCGATTTGCACCCCCCCCTCGAGTTTTTCTCTATATATTTTGCTATTTTTTGCCTTGGTGTCACCCCCCTAAATGGTGTCACCCGGTGCGGTCCGCACCCCCCGCCCCCCCCCTCGCTACGCCCCTGAGATACACATACACACACGGAGAAGATTGCAAAACTATGTTTTTCCGACTCAGAGAGGTGTAAAATGTCGAGATTTGCAAAAATCTCAATTTTTTTTTCTTTTGCAAGATTTAAAGACTTTCTCTATACTTCGTATATACGAGAAAGTAAAAAAGTGATATTTTGTTACTGAAAAACTCCATGAGTTGGGCGGTATTTTGTTGAGTTAAAAATCCTCTAAAACACGATATTTTGTTCAGTTAAAACTTTTCTAAGAAAAAGCTACATTTTAAATTTACGAAACGAGTAGAACTAAATCTATATTTGTTTGTATTTTATTTTATCAGAAACAATTCCTTCTGCAATTCTACATATTGAAGGCTTCGTTGGCATTCTTTGCTCATGATGTACATGTAGCTTAGAAGGGAATAAAAAAAAATCTGTCGGTTAAATGAGAGGTTTTACATGTTAACGTTGAGGGTAATTTTCCATTCAAATGGGTACGTTTGGTAGGGCACCGCATTTTTTGAAGCATCTCGGTGATATGAAAGGTAGCTTGGTTTTAATACTTTGATCCCCGTCCCAGAGGCGTAGTGACCCCACCCGGCGCCCGGGGACAAACTTTCATTTTAACGCCCCCCCCCATATATCTATATATATAATTCTCTTCTGGGAGACGCTAGAAAACAAGCTGTAAACGTGCTCCCTACCACCCCCACCCCTACATGGTCGGTGTGAGCTATGTTCACTCTAAATGTTTACAAGCAGAGCCGGGTTTAGTGACGACTATTAGGGGCAGATAATTTAGTTTGAAACGATTTTAAACGTGGGGGGGTGGGTTATGGTCCTTAACGTGCTACTTATAGTGTTTTAAAGAAATATTTTCAGTGGCAGTGTTGGTACCGTCGAATTCACAAATTATGAATTACTGAAAAGTAGAAAAAACAACAACTAAATAGCGGCGTATGTTATGCCGCGGGCCGGCTCGTATGTTTATAATTCAAAACTGCAGCGAAAGTGAGCTTTTAATTTTTTTTCCAACCCATTTTGGCGCCCCTAGGTTCGGCGCCTGGGGAGATATGTACCCGCCCCTCACCTTCGCTACCCCTCTGCCCCGTGCACACCACACACTGTTAATGTTAGTTTTATTTATCGCATTGATATGATACATTGCTATTGTGTCCTTTTCGTAATTTAAGTATGTAGTTGTATGTTTGTTTCACAAAGTAATTATATTGTTGTATGTTTGTTTCACAAATAATTATATTGTTGTATGTTTGTTTCACAAAGTAATTATATTGTTGGATGTTTATTTCTGAAGGTTATTGTATATTTGTAAGCATGTATTACGAGTTAAATTCCAAAATATATTATAATAATTTGTTTCATATAGTCTTTAGAAAACTTTAGAAAAAAACTGTTGATTAAAATTGTATAAATTGTTTGCTGGATTATTACTTTGAATATATTTTTTATGACAATTTTGTACTTAACTTTCATAGAATATATATTTCTACAGCTAAATGTGTTTTTTAATATAAATTTTAAATACTCAAATTTTTACCGAATTAGATTTAATAATTTTAAACACATCAATAATCGAAACATTTCAAGTCACTACCTAATAGAAGTAATAAAGTGAAATGAGAATATTTCGTTTTCTTATTTTTTGTGTGTGTTGAGAATCTTTTTCAAATTCACAATTATTTGCTTATTTGTCACACATTTGCAATATAAAAAGCAATGTTAGAAAATGAATTTTATACATTATTTCGCGTTTTAGAAAACTGTTTTAATAAATTGCAATAGGAATTGATTAAAATACAGAGTTCAGACAAGATTTAGGAAAAATATCGTTGTTTTAAGAAAAATTCAACTGCAATTTTGAGGGGGGTTGTAGACTGAGATGTGACGTCATTTTAAGGGGGGGGGGAGAGGTCCTGACTTTTTGTGACGATATGTGACGGAGGGGAGGGGGGGGGGAGGTAAAAATCGTCAAAAAGCGTGACTTCATTTATGGATGACCCCTATATTACCCCGGACAGGTGCCTATAAGTAACTCTAACCTTCACAATCCTGAAAATATTACGATGACTTTTGCAATCCAAAAAATTTAAGTAACTCTTAAAACATCAATATAACTGTTGCAACCTCAAGAATTTAAGTAACTATATTAACGCTTACAACATCGACATAACGGTTGCAACAAAAAAAGCATGATTCTCTGAAACCATTGATATAGGTTTTAACTTCTGAGGACCTCAAGTGTAATTTACCCACTCTTTTTGTTTAATCGATGTACACGTCGGAACTGACCTAGACAAGATCAATGAGGCCTGGTTTGGGAATTTACAAGATGTATTTTTAGCATATGTGGAAAAGACATTATTTTAGAGAAAAAAAATGTTTTGCTTGATTTCGACAATAAGTTGAGAACACTACAAAATAATGAGATATTATTTGGATTCTTCATAAACCATAATTTTAAATAAAAAAATAAAAATGAGTTAAGATTAAGACAACTGCATGTTTTAATTTTGGGAGTAGTTTTAAACTTCTAAGTTAACTATGTTAAACCTAAAGTAAGAACGTATATATTTTCATTAAGACTGGTACTTTCTACCTTGAGTTCGAACCCTTATTGTTCGATGCATGAGCTATTAATGTAAATCAATCCAATAAGTTGCTATCATTCACGTTATTAAAGTTTTATAATGCGAAACATATCGAGACATTACAATTAATACAGTATTTAAAAAAATCATACAACAATTGTTTGTATTGAGCAAATGGCTATATAATTTCAATTCTATTCCTTTGTCCAACTATTGCAATGTTAGTGGTTTTACAAGTTTTTCGCATGATCTATCGCTCTAAGCGCACATTAATACCATTGGTGATACATCTTCTACTAAGTTAATTCATCAATCGACTTAACAAACAACCCCAAATAGATCTTTACTTCAACGTGGCCCTCACCCACCCATCTTTTACAACTCAACGTACTCCATACCTCACCCATCATATTTCACCCATCATACCTCACCCATTACAAACGCCACCTGCTCACATACCTCAACCATCATACCTCACCCATCATACCTCACCCATCATACCTCACCCATCATACCTCACCCATCATACCTCACCCATCATATCTCACCCATCATACCTCACCCATCATACCCCACCCATCACTTACCTCACCCATCATATCTCACCCATCATACATCACCCATCATACCCTACCCATCATACCCACACCATAACATACCCCACACCACACCCATCATACCTCACCCATCATACCCCACCCATCATACCTCACCCATCATACCTCACCCATCATACCTCACCCCATCATAACTCACCCATCATACCTCACCTATCATACCTCACCCATCATACCCCACCCATCATACCTCACCCATCAAACCTCACCCATCATACCTCACCCATCATACCTCACCCATCATACCTCACCCATCATACCTCACCCATCATACCTCACCAATCATACCTCAATCATCTTACCTCACTCATCATACCTCACTCATCATACCTCACCCATCATACCTCACCAATCATACCTCACTCATCTTACCTCACTCATCATACCTCACTCATCATACCTCACCCATCATACCCCACCCATCATACATCACCCATCATACCTCACCCATCATACCTCACTCATCACATATTCACACATCATATACCTCACCCACCATACCTCACCCATCATACCTCAACCATCATACCTCACCCATCATACCTCACCCATCATACCTCACCCATCATACCGCACCCATCATACCTCACCCATCATACCTCACCATTCATACCTCACCCAACATACCTCACCCATCATACCTCACCCATCATACCTCACCCATCATACACCACCCAACATACCTCACCCATCATACCCACACCATAACATACCCCACACCACACCCATCATACCTCACCCATCATACCTCACCCATCATACCTCACCCATCATACCTAACCCCATCATAACTCACCCATCATACCTCACCTATCATACCTCACCAATCATACCCCACCCATCATACCTCACCCATCAAACATCACCCATCATACCTCACCCATCATACCTCACCCATCATACCTCACCAATCATACCTCACTCATCTTACCTCACTCATCATACCTCACTCATCATACCTCACCCATCATACCCCACCCATCATACATCACCCATCATACCTCACCCATCATACCTCACTCATCACATATTCACACATCATATACCTCACCCATCATACCTCACCCATCATACCTCACCCATCATACCTCACTCATCACATATTCACACATCATATACCTCACCCACCATACCTCACCCATCATACCTCAACCATCATACCTCACCCATCATACCTCACCCATCATACCTCACCCATCATACCGCACCCATCATACCTCACCCATCATACCTCACCATTCATACCTCACCCAACATACCTCACCCATCATACCTCACCCATCATACCTCACCCATCATACACCACCCAACATACCTCACCCATCATACCCACACCATAACATACCCCACACCACACCCATCATACCTCACCCATCATACCTCACCCATCATACCTCACCCATCATACCTCACCCATCATACCTAACCCCATCATAACTCACCCATCATACCTCACCTATCATACCTCACCAATCATACCCCACCCATCATACCTCACCCATCAAACATCACCCATCATACCTCACCCATCATACCTCACCCATCATACCTCACCAATCATACCTCACTCATCTTACCTCACTCATCATACCTCACTCATCATACCTCACCCATCATACCCCACCCATCATACATCACCCATCATACCTCACCCATCATACCTCACACATCATATACCTCACCCATCATACCTCACCCATCATACCTCACCCATCATACCTCACCCATCATACCCCAACCATCACATACCCCACCCATCATATCCCACCCATCATACCTCACCCATCAAACATCACCCATCAAACATCACCCATCATACCTCACCCATCATACCTCACCCATCATACCTCACCCACCACATACCTCACCCATCATACCTCACCCATCATACCTCACCAATCATACCTCACTCATCTTACCTCACTCATCATACCTCACTCATCATACCTCACCCATTATACCTCACCCATCATACCTCACCCATCATACCTCACTCATCATACCCCACCCATCATACCTCACCCATTATACCTCACCCATCAAACATCACCCATCAAACATCACTTATCATACCTCACCAATCATACCTCACTCATCTTACCTCACTCATCATACCTCACTCATCATACCTCACCCATCATACCCCACCCATCATACATCACCCATCATACCTCACCCATCATACCTCACTCATCACATATTCACACATCATATACCTCACCCATCATACCTCACCCATCATACCTCACCCATCATACCTCACCCATCATACCTCACCCATCATACCTCACTCATCACATATTCACACATCATATACCTCACCCATCATACCTCACCCATCATACCTCACCCATCATACCCCACCCATTATACCCCACCCATCATATCCCACCCATCATACCTCACCCATCAAACATCACCCATCAAGCATCACTCATCATACCTCACCCATCATACCTCACCCATCATACCTCACCCATCATACCTCACCCACCACATACCTCACCCATCATACCTCACCCATCATACCCCACCCATCATACCTCACCGATCAAACATCACCCATCATACCTCACCCATCATACCTCACTCATCTTACCTCACTCATCATACCTCACCCATCATACCTCACCCATCATACCTCACCCACCACATACCTCACCCATCATACCTCACCCATCATACCTCACCCATCATACCCCACCCATCATACCTCACCGATCAAACATCACCCATCATACCTCACCAATCATACCTCACTCATCTTACCTCACTCATCATACCTCACCCATCATACCTCACCCATCATACCTCACCCATCATACCTCACCCATCATACCTCACCAATCATACCTCACTCATCTTACCTCACTCATCATACCTCACTCATCATACCTCACCCATCATACCTCACCCATCATACCTCACCCATCATACCTCACTCATCATACCTCACCCATCATACCTCACCCATCACATACCTCACCCATCATACCTCACCCATCATACCTCACCCATCACATACCTAACCCATCATACCTCACCCATCATACCTCACCCATCATACCTCACCCATCATACCCCACCCATTATACCCCACCCATCATATCCCACCCATCATACCTCACCCATCAAACATCACCCATCAAGCATCACTCATCATACCTCACCCATCATACCTCACCCATCATACCTCACCCATCATACCTCACCCACCACATACCTCACCCATCATACCTCACCCATCATACCCCACCCATCATTCCTCACCGATCAAACATCACCCATCATACCTCACCCATCATACCTCACTCATCTTACCTCACTCATCATACCTCACCCATCATACCTCACCCATCATACCTCACCCACCACATACCTCACCCATCATACCTCACCCATCATACCCCACCCATCATACCTCACCGATCAAACATCACCCATCATACCTCACCAATCATACCTCACTCATCTTACCTCACTCATCATACCTCACCCATCATACCTCACCCATCATACCTCACCCATCATACCTCACCCATCATACCTCACCAATCATACCTCACTCATCTTACCTCACTCATCATACCTCACTCATCATACCTCACCCATCATACCTCACCCATCATACCTCACCCATCATACCTCACTCATCATACCTCACCCATCATACCTCACCCATCACATACCTCACCCATCATACCTCACCCATCATACCTCACCCACCACATACCTCACCCATCATACCCCACCCATCATACCTCACCCATCATACCTCACCCATCATACCTCACTCATCACATATTCACACATCATATACCTCACCCATCATACCTCACCCATCATACCTCACCAATCATACCTCACTCATCTTACCTCACTCATCATACCTCACTTATCATACCTCACCCATCATACCTCACCCATCATACCTCACCCATCATACCTCACCCATCATACCTCACCTATCATACCTCACCCATCACATACCTCACCAATCATACCTCACTCATCTTACCTCACTCATCATACCTCACTCATCATACCTCACCCATCATACCTCACCCATCATACCTCACCCATCACATACCTCACCCATCATACCTCACCCATCATACCTCACCCATCATACCTCACCCATCACATACCTCACCCATCATACCCCACCCATCACATACCTCACCCATCATATACCTCACCCATCATACCTCACCCATCATACCTCACCCATCACATACCTCACCCATCATACCCCACCCATCACATACCTCACCCATCACATACCTCACCCATCATACCTCACCAATCATACCTCACTCATCTTACCTCACTCATCATACCTCACTCATCATACCTCACCCATCATACCTCACCCATCATACCTCACCCATCATATCTCACTCATCATACCTCACCCATCATACCTCACCCATCACATACCTCACCCATCATACCTCACCCATCATACCTCACCCATCACATACCTCACCCATCATACCCCACCCATCACATACCTCACCCATCATACCCCACCCATCACATACCTCACTCATCATACCTCACCCATCGCATACCTCACCCATCATACCTCACCCATCACATACCTCACCCATCATACCTCACCCATCATACCTCACCCATCATACCTCACTCATCATACCTCACCCATCATACCTCACCCATCACATACCTCACCCATCATACCTCACCCATCATACCTCACCCATCACATACCTCACCCATCATACCTCACCCATCATACCTCACCCACCACATACCTCACCCATCATACCCCACCCATCATACCTCACCCATCATACCTCACCCATCATACCTCACTCATCACATATTCACACATCATATACCTCACCCATCATACCTCACCCATCATACCTCACCAATCATACCTCACTCATCTTACCTCACTCATCATACCTCACTCATCATACCTCACCCATCATACCTAACCCATCATACCTCACCCATCATACCTCACCCATCATACCTCACCCATCATACCTAACCCATCATACCTCACCCATCATACCTCACCAATCATACCTCACTCATCTTACCTCACTCATCATACCTCACTCATCATACCTCACCCATCATACCTCACCCATCATACCTCACCCATCACATACCTCACCCATCATACCTCACCCATCATACCTCACCCATCATACCTCACCCATCATACCTCACCCATCATACCTCACCCATCATACCTCACCCATCACATACCTCACCCATCATACCTCACCCATCATACCTCACCCATCATACCTCACCCATCATACCTCACCCATCATACCCCATCAATCATACCTCACCCATCATACCTCACCCATCATACCTCACCCATCATACCTCACCCATCATACCTCACCCATCACATACCCCACCCATCATACCTCACCCATCATACCTCACCCATCATACCCCATCAATCATACCTCACCCATCATACCTCACCCATCATACCTCACCCATCACATACATCACCCATCACATACCCCACCCATCACTTACCTCACCCATCACATACCCCACCCATCATACCTCACCCATCATACCTCACCCATCATACCTCACCCATCACATACCCCACCCATCATACCTCACCCATCATACCTCACCCATCATACCCCATCAATCATACCTCACCCATCATACCTCACCCATCATACCTCACCCATCATACCTCACCCATCATACCTCACCCATCACATACCCCACCCATCATACCTCACCCATCATACCTCACCCATCATACCCCATCAATCATACCTCACCCATCATACCTCACCCATCATACCTCACCCATCACATACCCCACCCATCATACCTCACCTATCATACCTCACCCATCATACCCCATCAATCATGGCCACACCATCGCTTACGCCACACCACACCGCACCCTTCCTCCCCACCTCCCTCCCTCCCACCCACTCACCCACACCACACCACCTAGCACCAGCATGAATCAATACACCAGACACAACATGCCCGGCATACCAACACCGACAACCCCTGAAGTTAAAAATCAGCAAGTCCCCCCCCTCCCCCCTCCCCTCCCCCACCCCCACCACCACCGTCACACCACAGAACAAAGCCACCGGCCTGACGCGTGCCTCTGCCCGTCTCATTTCAATTCTGCTAACGCGTCGGTGATCGACATTATATTGAACAGTTAGCATGGAGGGGGTGGGGGGGGGGGGGTGGATGGTGCTGGGGGGGGAGGGGGAGTAATCGATTTGTGATACGGGCCGATAGCAAAGGCTAGGGCTTGAAGGCAGCATCGGAAGTCGTACCGTGGGGATGTATTGTATTTCAAAAAAATTGTGTTGTCATTTCTAGGCAGAGGTTAGTTTAAGATCAGGAATTGTGTAGGGGATTCGTTAATTGTTAAAGGTTTATAGAAAAGAAGGAGTAGGCCGTATTCAGATTTAATTAAGGAAACAAATACTTGGATTGAAGTGAAAATTAGTCACAGTAGTAGGCCTACTTACCGTGTTGTGCATTGAAAAGAGTTAAAGTCGATTTGAGTATTCACATTACTGAAATTTGTTAAAAAAATTATATTGGATATAAATTCAGGAACAAATATAGGTAGCTAAGAGTTTGAGACAAATGATACATTTCTAGCCTGTGGCTATACTTCAGCACAGATTCAACTAGACGCGTCTGTCTTTATTGAAAAACCGGAAGTCTTTTACAAGATTGGCAGGAGTGATCTCCTCAATAAAATACTCTAGTGTTACGAGGATAATGAAATCGATCTAGTTGTTAGATATTCCGATTAAAGCCTGTGGTTTTATTGAGCAGGAAGGATGTGGATTAGGGGCATCTAGTGTGATTTGTGTTCTGACGGAGCGAAATTTATTGTTTTATTAATTCGAAATATACTGAAAAAGGAAGAATTTTATTTTAAAAGAAGCAGATAGTTTTGAGCTAATCTGTTCGGAATCAATACGAGTGACAATTTATTTATTAATTTTGTAGTTAAATACGAATACAACATGACGACAGTTAATGTAAGTATTACTCTTCATATTCTTCTTCTTCTTCGTTCTTAACTGTAATGTTGGAAGGAATTTCCTCGAATAAACTTAAGTATTACGTGTCAACGTGTTAAGCGCCGTATAGGCAGTGTACTCCAATATCAGCCTGCTTTTTTTTTGGATTTGCTTCCATAGCCTTTGTCCAACCAAGAACAAACTACAAGGCAGCAGTTGTTTAATTTTGGAGTTATCTCTCCTGCATGGGTTGTCTCACCTGTTCGGGGTACGAACTCGAGACTTCTCGGCTTGGCTACCATGAGCTTTACCAACCCGACCACGCCGACCCCACTCTGCATTTGATTATTTTTAACTTAATCTAGACACCCACATAATTGAAAATAGAATGGAACTATTTTAAGAGTTAAAAGTATGGTCTAAAAATGTTTACATTTGTCTGTCTGTCTCTGTATGCTTTTGCTTGCAGCCATTTTGTTTCAAAACTTTACGATTAATTCATTTCTACAACAAAATGGAAAATTAAAGATATATAAAAAAACCTTTATAATTAATTAGCTTTTAAATGTATTAAAAATAAGAAACATAATTATATAATTTCTTCCATTCGTAAAAGCGTTTTCGTCCTTGAAATCTCGAGCATATTTCAAGCAATTACAGTAATTAATTATCTTAGCCCACAATATCAGTTCACACATAACCACATTATGAGTTCACACAAAACCACATTGTTGGTTTACATGGAACGCAGTAATTATTTCGCAAAGACCACACTATTAAATCACATATAACCAGAATATCAGTTCACACAAAACCACATTATCAGTTCACACAATACCACATTATCAGTTCACATAAAACCACATTATCAGTTCACACAAAACCACATTATCAGTTCACACAATACCACATTATCAGTTCACACAATACCACATTATCAGTTCACACAAAACCACATTATCAGTTCACACAATACCACATTATCAGTTCACACAATACCACATTATCAGTTCACACAATACCACATTATCAGTTCACATAAAACCACCTTATCAGTTTATACAAAACCACATTATCAGTTCACACAATACCACATTATCAGTTCACACAATACCACATTATCAGTTCACACAATACCACATTATCAGTTCACATAAAACCACCTTATCAGTTTATACAAAACCACATTATCAGTTTATACAAAACCACATTATCAGTTCACACAAAACCACATTGTTACTTCACACAAATCCACATTATTCGCTCACACAAATCCACATTATCAGTTCACACAAAACCACATTGTTATTTCACACAGACCACATAAATCTACGCGGATAATGTCGTAATACTACGTGCTTAGATTATCCGCGGCCTTGAGCGTGTGTTGCCGAGATTAGCTCAGGATTAGCAGAGTTTAGTGATACTTCTATTGTTAATTACTGAGTGGCTTAAAGATATCGCTGATGACTTTAGGTCACGTGGTCGGCTAATGAGTTCACTCGGGTCATATTCGATAAAATACAGGTGACGATACTCTTTTGGGTCCGACTGTTTCCGTATTCTGGACATTTGAAGCGATAGTGCAGTCAACAACTGCTAATTTACTTGGGTTCGAATCCGGGTTCAAGTCAGCAGAAGGTCTCTGAGTCCACCCAGCTCTAATGGGTATCCAGCTCACGTTAGGGGAAGTAAAGGCGGCTAGGAATAGTGCTGACCATACTATCTGAAACGGATGAACTCTACTGCATCTGCCCCATGTGCCTTGGGCATGAAAAGGAATAGATGATATGATGATGATGTTCTTCATTGTGTTGAGCAGTGATGTTGAGTGATGTCAGTCCTATGCCCATCCTTTACTTTCATTAACGTGAGTCAGGTATCTCTAAGAGCTGAGTGGACTCAAAGACATACCACGGATTAGACTCTGGGATTCAAACTCAGACTTAAGTTTTAGCAGTCGAGCGCTCTCTCTAACCAACCACGCCATTCCACATTCATACATTATTTAATGTTATGATAAAATCTCATCCCCATTCATACATTATTTAATGTTATGATAAAATCTCATCCCCATTCATACATTATTTAATGTTATGATAAAATCTCATCCCCATTCATACATTATTTAATGTTATGATAAAATCTCATCCCCATTCATACATTATTTAATGTTATGATAAAATCTCATCCACATTCATACATTATTTAATGTTATGATAAAATCTCATCCCCATTCATACATTATTTAATGTTATGATAAAATCTCATCCCCATTCATACAATATTTAATGTTATGATAAAATCTCATCCACATTCATACATTATTTAATGTTATGATAAAATCTCATTTAGAATGCACTAAATGTGCGTGCTTCCCCTCTCCCCTCTCCCCAAATAACCCCATCGTTACAAACGTTTTAATCTCTGTATTTTGAAAATATTTTATAACTCACATTAAGATATATTTTAATGTGCATTTATTGTCTGTGCCTTAGGGGCGGTTCTGCTATCTTTTCAGATACGTTTGTCTCTTTCTCTAGTATACGTCTATCTTTAGACAAAATTATTCTATTTTCGACCAAGGGATGAAGTTAAAAACAAACTCACGTCATTGTGCAATACTTAAGTTTGTGTTTCTATTAAAAAAAACATGATGATTGTATGTTGTAAGCCCAATGCTTAGCCAACGAAACCTACATTTTTCAACATAAAATCAATACAACAGACGAAGACATTAATAACAAATCATCCATGAGGGGGAAAAAATTTCGCCGGGGTTGCGAATGTACTGGTGTGTTTGATTTTAGGAAGGTGCAATTATTTATACACATTTAGTTAACGCGGTACTAATGGAGGTGACGGTAGAACGCCAGTGGTAATGATGCGGTGTAATTAGGTTACTAAATTGATTGGAGTTAATTGTCGTAGGGTGCGTCGGGTTGAAAAAAAAGGTGAATAAATGGGGATAGACAAGATGGCGTCGTGGCGTGCTGTTGGTGAGAAGGGGGGGGGGTTAGTCCCGGGATGGCATGTGTGTGCTTGCACACATGCATACATACACACATAAACACACACACACCCACAAACACGGGCACACTTATACATGCATAGATACATTACACACACACAAACACACAAAAGCATCAGTGCTTCATCCAGACTTTTTTCTTCGGGGGGGGGGGGGGGGCGGGGGGCACTGGTAAAATTATATGTTTTCTATGTTTTCGTTACGGGGGGGGGGGGGGTAGACTTTCTTCGGGGAGGGGGGGGGGGAGGGAGGCAAAGGGATGCCTGGAAGAAACTCTGAAAAGTACACATATTTATTCAGGTAAGTTTAGCCGGGGAAAAAAGTTGGGTGTGGTTTGGTTTTGGGTGGGAGCCACCGGTGACAGCGTGGAAGTAGAGTCGCGAACGGAATTACCATTGGGTGCTCTTCAAGGGGCAAGCAAAAGGATTAATAATTAGTCTGCAAAGAGGATAAATGCAGTATGTCCCAAAAAACTGAATCTTGAGAAAATGTGTTTTTAAATCTCATTCCTATTTTATAATAGTGCTAACTATTGTGTAACAACGTTTTCAAAAAAAAAAAAAAATTAGCATTTTTTTGTTGTTGACATTTTATAAGTGTGTTCTGCTAGCTTGCATTAATGCCAACATAAATATAAATGTGCATTAATTTTTTTTAAAGTGGACATACTGCATTTCCCTTCTATACCTCCCCCCCCCCCCTTTTCGCACTAAACCAGGGTTGTGTATTCGAATGGGTTCCAATGAAAATGTCAATTCTAAACACAATGTCTGCATTAACAAAAGCCTTTGACAATCACTAATGATGTATCCTAATTTTATGGACATACTGCATTTCCCTCATATACAGTCGTTTCCTCCTCCCCCCCCCTCCTTTCGAGAAAGAAGCAACTCACTAAGCAAGGGATGTGTACTATAATGGGTTCAAATGAAAATATCAGATCTAAACACAATGTTTGTACTAACTAAAGTCTTTGACACTCACTAAAGATGTGTCTAAATTTACGTTTCTTCATAATGATATCGATATGTCTAAGCCGCAGTGTAGCATGAGCTATCTAATTATCGAATGTTGGGTATCAAAATGTGTAGCAGTGGCTGATAATTTGAACATAGTTCTTTCATTACACGAGATAACGTGTCTGTCTACAGCTTTCTAATTGATTACAGGCTGTAGTCGGTGGCTTGATTGATTGGAGGTGTCGGTGGTGTTAAATCATGTTTTGTGACTGAGGTTCTAGCATTTTGGGGTAGGGTTGGTATATTAAGTCATGTTTGGTGACTGTTTATAGAGGTTCTAGCATTTTGGGGTAGGGTTGGTATATTAAGTCATGTTTGGTGACTGTTTATAGAGGTTCTAGCATTTTGGGGTAGGGTTGGTATATTAAGTCATGTTTGGTGACTGTTTATAGAGGTTCTAGCATTTTGGGGTAGGGTTGGTATATTAAGTCATGCTTGGTGACTGTTTATATAGAGGTTCTAGCATTTTGGGGTAGGGGTGAGGTTGGTACATTAAGTAATGTTGGGTGATTGTTTACAGAGATTTTAAGTTTATAGGTCGGGGGTGTCTTTCGTACATTAAGTCATGTTTGGTGACAGTTTAAAGGTTTTCTAACATCTTGAGGTAGGGGGTGAGGGTTGTGTCTGTAGTTAAGTCATGTTTGGGGACCTTTTTTAGGGGTTCTAACATTATTGGGCAAGGGGGGGGGAGCAATCTGTGGTACATTAAGTCATGTTTGGGGACCGTTTTCAGGGGTTCTAACATTATGGGGCAAGGTCTGTGGTAAATTAAGACATGTTTTGTGACTGTTCACATGGATTGTAGCGTTATGGAACACGGAGGGGAGGGGGTGGGGTTGTCAAGTACGTTATCTGCTTAAAGATTATTTTCATTTTACAGTTTTACAGTTATAAAGATTATTTCCTAATATGTAAGACTTCAATAACACAACGCTTTTGGGTGTGTTAGTCATTTGTCTTCATATGCG